GGCTGAGGGACAGCACCCAGGCCCAGAGTTCAGGCCCCACAATCAGACATAAAAAACAAAAAAAGTTAACTAGGGGCTGGGAAGGTAGCTCAGTGTGCTTGCCTTGTATGCATGAGTCCCTGGGTTCGATTCCTCAGCACCACATAAGCAGGGCACTGTGGCTCAAGTGGTAGAGCACTAGCCTTGAGCTGAAGAGCTGAGGGACAGTGCCCAGGCCCTGAGTTGAGGCCCCATGACCAGCCAAAAAAAAAATAGTTAACTACTAGAGGCTGCTCAAAGAAGTAGAAGTCTAAAGCATATCTTCTTCTAAACTTTTTAACTCCTTGAAGGTCAAGTCCTTTCTTAGGTCCTTGTTCCCATAGTCGAAGTTAAAGATTTAATAACATCGAGCACTTTGATTTCCTTGATATCAGCAGTCATGAAATGAGCTCCAGCTCTCCTGCTCTATACCCCCGCTTCTATTCCATTCTGATGGTCAGCTTATTCGAGTTTACTGTCCTTGCAAGGATTTGGGCAGGACTTGGGGTGTCATAACAAAAAGGTAAACATAACAATGCCTAATAGGAGTTTATCCATATGAATGGGGTGATTATATCACTCTTCCATACTGAAAGACATCTAGACATCTTTGGTCTACCTTAACATACAGACTGTAAATTATATGTGAAATTAATTTTGATTGGCTCTAAAAAGGAAGACCTCAGAATTTAGAATGAGGTTGCAATAAAAGGCCAACATGGGGTCTGGGAAGGTGGCTCAGTGCTTGCCTCACATGCATGAGGCCCTGGGTTCCTCAGCTCCACATAAGCAGAAAAGGCTGGAAGTGGTACTGTGGCTCAAGTGGTAGAGTGCTAGCTAGCCTTTAGCTGAAGAGCTGAGGGACAGCACCCAGGCCCAGAATTCAGGCCCCGTGACCAGCCAAAAAAAAAAGGCCAGGTGCCAGTGGCTCACACCTGTAGTAATCATAGCTACTCAGGAGGCTGAGATCTGAGGATTACGATTCAAAGCCAGCCCAGGCAGGAAAATCTGTGAGGCTCTTACCTCCAATAAACCACTGGAAAACCAGAAGTGGTGCTGTGGCCCAAGCACTAGAGTGCTCGCCTTGAGCTGAGCTGAAGAGCAGAGGGACAGTGCCCAAGCCCAGAGCTCAAGCCCCACGACGGACCAAAAAAAAAGGCCAACATGTAGAACCACTGTATAAAATTCCACAATCAGGGATAACAGTTTTATATAAAGCCTATGTTAACAATCATGGGGACAGATAAGTTGGACTTGAAGTGTTGCCTTCCAGTTATTTACCTTTCATGTGACTAGATCTATATAATAACGCTGTTTAGGGATTTGCTTCTTTACGCACCACTCAATATGCTGGGCACTGGTGGCTCATGCCCGTAATCCTAGCTACCAAGGAGGCTGAGATCTGAGGATCATGGTTTGAAGTTAGCCTGAGCAGGAAACTCCATGATTTTTTTTTTTTTTTTGTCGGTCGTGGAGCTTGAACTCTGGGCTTGGGTGCTGTCCCTCAGTTCTTCAGCTCAAGGTGAGCGCTCTACCACTTGAACCACAGTACCACTTCCGGTTTTCAAATGGTTCATTGGAGATAAGAGTCTCACGGACTTTCCTTGCCCGAGCTGGCTTTGAACCTCCATCCTCAGATCTCAGCCTCCCGAGTAGCTAGGATTACAGGCGTGAGCCACCAGCGCCCAGCTCCATGATATTCTTATTTGTAATAAACTACCATAAAAGCCAGAAGTGAAGCTGTGGCTCAAGTAATAGAGCGCTAGCCTTGAAGAAAAACTTTGGGACAGCACCCAGGCTTAGAGTTATACACACACACACACACACACACACACACACGCACACACACACACACACACACACACATACAAGAGTTATACACACACACACACACACACACACCATAATACATATGTGTGTGTGTGTATGTCATTTCCAATGGTTTTGCTGTTCCTACTACCCACGAATTAGACTTAACTCTTGGGATAGGAGGCTTATTGTTTAGTGGCATCAGACGTATGTAAACAGTTGTTATACATAGATTGATGTCACAAAGAAAGAACTAAAATTGACACAGGTGGGAACATCCAAGCACCTTTGGCTTGCTGATCCTTTCAAAGTCCAGGAAATAAAAATTGAGTGTTCCCAAGCCTCTAATAGTGGTGTTGATCACCAATTAAGGACTTAAGGCCTCATTTGGGATACTACATCAACAGTGCCTGTAGTTGCTATCACATACATGGCATTGAATTTTCTGATAACATTTTTTTTGGGGGGGGGGTCCGGTTGTGGGGCCTGAACTCTGGGCCTGGGCACTGTCCCTCAGCTCTTCAGCTCAAGGCTAGGGCTCTACCACTTGAGCCACAACGCCACTCCCGGCTTTTTTCTTATGTGGTGCTGAGGAATCGAACCCAGGGCCTCAGGCATGCAAAGCAAGCGCTCTACCACTGAGCCACCTTCCCAGCCCTCTGATAACATTTTTAAGACCATTTTTGTTTTTGTTTTTGTCTTTTTTGTCAGTCGTGGGGCTTGAATTCTGGGCCTGGGCGCTATCTCTGCACTCTTTAGCTCAAGGCGAGCGCAGTGCACTTCCAGTTTTCGAGTAGTTTATTGGAGATAAGAGTCTCACGGACTTTTCTGCCTGGAATGGCTTTGAACCATGATCCTCAGATCTCAGCCTCCTCAGTAGCTAGGATTACAGGCATGAGCCACCGGCGCCTGGCTTTTAAAGACCATTTTTGATTACTTACTTTCTCAGTTTTTAGCATTTAGTAAATAAAATGATTACATGAATAATATGGAGATGGTATAAAGTGACCATGGCGAAGAGTTTTCTGAAAGTACTACTAGCTAAATGAAAATTTGCAGACAAAACAGTTATAAACTGCCAGTTGAAGAGATCAGAGACTGAAATAGCTGCAGGATTATTCATTTACTGTAGTAAACCTTACTAAGACTAACCACAGGAAGTCTGAAAAGGTAAGTTTGGCTAGAGAGGATAGTGTCTACTAAGAAAAAGCATGTAACACGTGTGGTATCATGTGCCTGTAGTCTCAGATTCTTGAGAAAGTGGTTGAAGCCGGAGGATTACCTGAGCCCAATAGGTTTAGGACAGCCTGAGCAACATAGTCAGATCCCCACTCTGTTAGAGAGAGAAGAGAAGGAAATAATACACACATGTGTAGTGTTTGTGATACTGCAAGGTAGATTTTGTTTTTGTTTTTTTGGGGGTCCGGTCGTGGGCGTGAACTCTGGGCCTGGGTGCTGTCCCTCAGCTCTTCACCTCAAGGCTAGTGCCCTGCCACTTGAGCCACAGCACCACTTCCGGCAAGCATGCAAGCAAGCGCTCTACCACTGAGCCACCTTCCCAGCCCCCAAGGTAGATTTTATATTATTGATGTAGATCCAGCTCTAATCCTACCTGCCTTTCTGAGATTTCTTGACTGTTTCCATACCGTACCCTTCCCCCCAAGATGTACACAAATACAGAATGCCAGATTAAGAGAGACAATATTAAAGTGGCAAGGGCTGGGAATGTGGCTTAGTGGTAGAATGCTTGCCTAGTATGTGTGAATCGCTGGGTCAATTCCACATAAACAGGAAAAACTGGAAGTGGCGCTGTGGCTCAAGTGGTAGACTGCTAGACTTTGCAAAAGAAACTCAGGGACAGTGCCCTGAGTTCAAGCCCCAGAACTGGCAATAAATTATAAAGTGGCAAAACAATACAGAAGATAGAAAAACACATCAGAAAGAAAATTTGGCCAGGTGCTGGTAGCTCACACTTGTAATCCTAGCTACTCAGGTGGCTGAGATCTGAGGATTGTGGTTCAGAGCCAGCCAGGGCAGGAAAAAGTTTGTGAGAGTCTTATCTCCAATTAACCACTAGAATACCAGAAGTGGCTCTGTGGCTCAAGTGGCAGAGCACTAATTTTGAGCAAAAAAGCTCAGGAACAGTGCATGGGCCCTGAATTCAAGCTCAATGATCAACAAGAAAGGAAGAGTTGGGGGCGGGGGAGGGAGGAAGGAAGGAAGGAGGCAGGCAGGTAGGGGAGAACTTGGCTTTGGGCATTAGTTGTCTTTTTTTGTGTGTGTGTGTGCCAGTCCTGGGACTTGAACTCAAGGCCTAGGCACAGTTCCTGAGTTTTTGTGTTCAAGGCTAGAGATCTACTACTTTGAGCCCACTGAAGGATTACAGAGACATGTCTGCACCACTTGTCACTTACTGTGATACACCAAATCAGTTTCTAAAGGTAAAGTGCAGCAATCCTAATACAACAACATAAGACATTTGAGCTACCTATAAGTGGCCACTAGTGATGCGGTGACAAGGAGAGACCAGAGACATCAATTATAACATCAACTTTTGTTTTTTGGTCAGTCATGGGGCTTGAACTCTGGGCCTGGGCGCTGTCCTCAGTTCTCAGCTCAAGGCTAGCACTCTACCACTTGAGCCACAGCGCCACTTCCACTTTTCTGTGGTTTATTGGAGATAAGAGTCTCACAGGCTTTCCTGGCCGGGCTGGCTTTGAACTGGGATCCTCAGATCTCAGTCTCCTGAATATCTAGGATTACAAGCATGAGTCACTAGCCACCCAGCCTTCATAACACAAACTTTTAAGAGAGCATTTATTCAAAATTCATGTCTAGTGAATCAGGGCTAGATTAAATCTCCTTTTAATTGTCTCTATTTTGTTGCTTTTGCTAGAGAGACTAATATCTGAGTGAGATCAGAAAATTTGTGGTATGGAACTCTGTTTATAGATTCTTTATGTCACAAAACTTTGTTATTAGGGACAATAGTCCAACAAATCTTAGATAATATTTTTTTAATCTTAGATAATATTGCTATACCAAAACAACCTTGTTAATTTGGACTTCAGAGGAAAAATTGGGTGTAATATATGTTGCTTCCTGAGTGTAAATCTTTGGTTTTATCTTCCAAGCCAGTTTGGTTATGTGATGTTTTCTTTCTACTTATGCAGCCAAATGGACGGACTGTTGAAGTGGCTGAAGAGGAACCTGTTCGAACAACTCGAAGTATAGCAGCAAAACAACCACCAGAGACAGATAAGAAAAATGAAAAGGTAAGCTTGGGAGCATATACAATTACATGAAAGGTTTTTAATAAAAGTTATGTTTATCTGTTTTTGTTGATATTGTACCTGTAATGTGAAAAATACTTAGCAAAATTGTCCAGTGGTATTGTTAAAATAGATATCTGTTACAGTGAAAATCTAATTGTCTGAAAAACAGATTTCTGTTCCAATTCTAATTAATAGAGTTTGTTTTTATAAAAAAAATAATTCGGTACTTAAGTCATTACTAAAAGATTTGACTCTGCACTTTATTTTCAATGTGAAGTTTCCAAATGTTTTATACCCCATTAATGATATATTCTTGGGATTTCATTAATTTTCAAGTTGCTGATAAAACTGACTCATTTATACTTGATTTAATGTTGTTTGGAAATAGCAAAATAAACAAACTTGATTTATATTTGTCATTGGGTTTCTTTTTGTTTTCTTTTGTTGGTCGTGGGGCCTGAACGCTGGGTCTGGGCGCCGCCCCTCAGCTCTTCAGCTCAAAGCTAGAGTACTACCACTGGAGCCACAGTGCCACTTCCAGCTTTTTCTGCTTATGTGGTGCTGAGGAATCGAACCCAGGGCCTTATGCATGCAAGGCAAGCACTCTAGTACTGAGCCACCTTCCCAGACTCAGTGGGTTTCAATATAACATTTTTGTACATTTTTACAAGGTACTCTGATCTTCCTCCCACCCCATTCCCCCAGCCTTTTTTATTTCCCTTAACAGTATGAACTGGTTGCTTACAGTTTCCTCCCCTGACCTCCCTTTCTCTAGAGTTTAAACTCACAACTTGCACTTTCTACACAAGCACTCTACTACTTGAGCTATATCTCTAGCCCTTTTTGCTTTGGTTTCAGAAAGTCTCTCACTTTATTTGACCACGGCGAAGGGGTGCTAGGGATACAGCATCAGACTGTAATCCTACTAGGCCTGTCACATGGAATGATATGTGTGCACCACCATACCTGTCTGGTTTGTTGAGATGATGTGTTATGTTTTTGTCGTCGTCGTCGTTGTTTTACAGTATTATGGTTTGAACTCAGAACCTATGCTTGCTAGGCCAAATATCTACTATTTGAGCCACACTCGTAGCCCTTATGCTACAGTTTCTTATAACTTACAGTTTCAGAACATCTTTGAAGAATGAGTGAGGAAGCAGTTCTTCCCTATAATCTGGTGAAATTGGTCTAGATTTAAGGCAGCTGCTGGTAAAATGGCTTGAAACAAAGGATAGTTGTAGGAAAGAACAGAATTTATGTCTGACTTTGACAGAAAAGTAAATCATAAAGGACTTGCTTTAACAAATAAGCATATAATTAAATGATTGTGAGATTATAGAGTAGATAGCTGATATGTTTGATATAGATTTCCCACTGTTACTTCCTGGTAAAAGTCTGTTAAACTCAATTTTGCTTCCCTCCTTAAATGATCCTGAAAATTTTGATAGAATAATTAGTGAACTATTATTAATCAGTTTAAAGTCTAAAGTTTATAACCATTGTTCTGTTTTTTGTTTGTTTTTATTTTGGTACTAGTCCTCAGAGCCTGGGCACTGTACTGAACTTTCCTGTTGAAGGCTAGCACTCTACCACTTGAGCCACAGTGCCACTTCTGAGATTTTGTTTTTGTTTTTGTTGGTCTTGGGGCTTGAACTCAGAGCCTGGGCAATGTCCCTGAGCTTTTTCCCTCAAGATTATTCTACAGCTTTTGAGCCACAGTACCACTTTTGGCTTTTTCTGAGTGGTTTTCTTGGAGATGAGAGTCTGGTCTGACTGAACCACAATCCTCAGATAACAGCCTCCTGAGTAGCCTGGATTATAGGCATGAGCCACCAGTGTCCAGCACAGATTTCAAATGAGAGATCCTGAGTTCAAGCCCCTGTACTGTGTTTTCCCTCCCCTACAAAAAAAAATATATATATACTGTATATATGCACATGTATTTTATTTTTATTTTTATTGTGAAAATACTGTACAGAGGGATTACAATTACATGGGCAAGATAATGAGTACATTTCTTATCAAGCATTGTAGCCTCCTCCTTAGTTTCCCCTTCCCATCCCTTCCCATCCTCCCCCAATCCCCCTATATGCACATGTATTTATATACATTTGTGTTTATGTATAAATACTTGCACTTTATAGTTTTCAAGTTCATGTTAGTGCTAAAAAAACCAGATTGAATATCTGCACAGTCAAATTAAAACAGCATTGGAAATCTCACAAGAGCTGGGCCTGGTGTCTCACACCTGTAATCCTAGCTACTTAGGAGGCTGAAATCTGAGGATTGCGGTTCAAAGCCAGGCAGGCAGGAAAGTCCGTGAGATTCTTATCTCCAATTAATCAACAGAAAAGTGGAAATGGTGCTGTGGCTCAAGTGGTAGAGTACTTGCTGTGAGCTGAAGAGTTGACGGATAGTGCCCAAGCCCCCCAACCAACCAAAAAAGCAATGATCTGGCACATAGTATATATCTATGGTTGCATGAAGATTGGCCAAAAAAAAGATTAGGAGTTTTTATTTTTTAATTGTCATGTATTTGTACTTACTTAACAAATGTGTATTTGATATAATGATCAAATCAAAGTGGTTAGCATTATCTTTTTAGGTATTATTATTATTGTTAGTGTCAAGAACCTTCAACCTCATTTCCTCTTGTTATTTTGAATTGCTATGTAGTTAATGATTATAGACTATTACCTTTTATATTATAGAAGATTGGAACTGTTTTCATCCCAACTCTTTATTTTTGTACCTATTATCTACCCTCTTATCCACCTCCTTCACCCTGTCCTTGCTAGTCTCTAATGACCTCTGTTTTATTCTCTGCTTCTATTTTACATATTACAAATGAAGAGAATATGTGGGGGAAAAAAATTTTGGGGGGGGGGGCCCTTGAACTCTGGGCCTGGGCGCTGTCCCTCAGCTCTTCAGCTCAAGGCTAGTGCTCTACCACTTGAGCCACAGCGCCACTTCCAGTTTTTTCTTTTTTGCTTATGTGGTGCTGAGGAATCGAACCCAGGGCCTCATGCATACAAGTGCTCTACCACTGAGCCACCTTCCCAGCCCAACATTTGGAATTTTATCTGCCTTTCTGTGGCTTTTTTTTTTTTTTTTTTGGTCCAGTCGTGGGGCCTGAACTCTGGGCCTGGGCCCTGTCCCTCAGCTCTTCAGCTCAAGACTAGTGCTCTACCACTTGAGCCGCAACGCCACTTCCAGCTTTTTTTCTTATGTAGTGCTGAGAAATCGAACCCAGGGCCTCAGGCATGCAAGGCAAGCGCTCTACCACTGAGCCACTTTCCCAGCCCCTAAAAATCTTTTTGATAATAGTTATTCTGACTGGGTATCAAACCATATGAGATCTCATTGTGGTTTTTACTTGCATTTCCCTACTGATTAGGGATCTTAAGTATTTAAATACTTGTTAGCTATTTCTGTATCTATTTTGAAAAATGTATACTCATCATTTACCTTGTTTGCTTGTTTTTTGTTTGTTTGTTTGTTTTTGGTCAGTCGTGGAACTTGAACTCTGGGCCTGGGCACTGTTCCTCAGCTCTTCAGCTCAAGGCAAGCGCTTTACCACTTGAGCCACAGCACCACTTCCGGTTTTCTGATGGTTAATTGGGGATAAGAGTGTCATTGACTTTCCTTTCCTTCCCAGGCTGGGTTTGAACCATAATCCTCAGATACCAGCCTCCTGAATAGCTAGGATATACTGACGGGAGCCACTGGCACCTGGCATCATTTACCATTTTATTAATCTGCTTATTTGGGAATTTTGCTCAGTTGTCTGGAGGATGCTATGTTTGTTTTTAGTCCACCTAGCTCCATGGCAGAGTCTGACAATAAATAAGGGAAACAAGAAAGCCAGAACTTTGTGAAAGTCCTGATTGAAGGGGGTACCTCAAAAGTAAGACATATCACTGTAGTAAGATGGCAAGTTTTTAGTAGCCTATTATCTTACTAAGTCTCCATTATATAAGTTTGTAATAGAAACTTTTAAATAAAAGTAAATATAGTAAATATAAATAGTACTTTAGGCTTATTCAAGGTAATTTCCTTTTTTTTATAGATGTTTCCTAAGTAATCTGAATTTATTTGAATTCAAATGTAATTCTTTTTTTTCAGTTCACCTGTTTGAAAAATCTTATTTGTATCTAGTGCTTTATAGTGAGCAATCTCATTTATTCTTTCTTTTTTGAGATAAGGTCTCAATATGTAGCCCAAAGCAACCTAAACTGAAAACCTGCTCCATATTCAATGCTGGTATTATAGGTATATCATATGGAGGGATGAGTAACTTTGTCCAAAAAGAAATGTATTCACAGGGGCTGGGAAGGTGGCTCAGTGGTAGAGCACTTGCCTTGCATGCATGAGGCCCTGGGTTCGATTCCTCAGCTCCACATAAGCAAAAAGAAAAAAGCTGGAAGTGGCACTGTGGCTCAAGTGGTACAGCACTAGCCTTGAGCTGAAGAGCTGAGGAACAGCGCCCAGGCCCAGAGTTCAGGCCCCACGACTGGACCCGAAAAAAAGAAAAAGAAATGTGTTCACTTGTTTGATTTATGTAACTGTAATCCCTGTGCACATCACCTTTATAATAACAATACAAATTTACAAATTAAAAACTTATGTGAAGTTAGTAGGAATTTGTCCTCTGACAGTTGGAGAAAAAGACTTTTTTATTTAGCCCAAAGCTACATAGCCAGTGCATTATTGAGTTTATATTTAGAGTTAACATGTAGAGAGACATAGTAGTAAAGAATTTGGTAGATTAGGGTCTAGAGATAGAACTGGACCTTTAGTCCTGATTTTACCAATTTACAACCCTTAATGTTTTACAACTTAATATTTCTATATATCAGTTCCCTTACCTATAAAATGAGGATACTTACAATAGTTCCTGTTGACCTATATTGTCCAATTTGCAGCCCTTTGCCACATATGTAGATATTGAATACTTGAATTGTTGCTTATCTAAATTGAGACCAGTGTTAAGTATAAAATATGTAATTGATTTCAGACTATCAGCCAGGTGCACAGTGGTGTGGTCTAAGACTTAATTTACCTTTCTTTTTCATACTATGTGTGTACACATGTGAGGTGTGAACCTCCAACATTCAGCTTATTTGCTTGATTAATAGTTTTAAAAGTATTGATTTCATGTTAAAATGTTAGTATTTTAGGTTTATTAAAGTTAACATAACCATATTATTAATGTCATCTATTTTAACTTATAAAAGTGTATCTTCTGCCGGGCGCCAGTGGCTCACGCCTGTAATCCTAGCTACTCAGGAGGCTGAGATCTGAGGATCGCGGTTCAGAGCCAGCCCAGGCAGGAAACTCTGTGAGACTCTTACCTCCAATAAACCACTAGAAAACGGGAAGTGGCGCTATGGCTCAAGCGGAAGAGCGCTTGCCTTGAGCTGAAGAACGCAGGGACAGCGCCCAAGCCCAGAGTTCAAGCCCCACGACTGACCAAAAAAAAAAAAAAAGTGTATCTTCTGAAAAATATTTTACATTGTATATGTAGCTTACATTATATGTTTACTGACAGCTCTGCTAGAATAGTAAACTGGTTAAATCCAACCCAGATACCTGGTTTGTTTGTGTGTGTGTGTGTGTGTACAGTTTTATTGGAACACGGTCCCATCCATTCCCTTATATCTGCTTTTGTGCTACAGAGTTGTATGGTTGTTACAAAAACCATATGGGATATAAACCCTAAAATGTTGATTATTTTGTCCTTTACAGAATAAATGTGAAGGTCTGCTGTAGTCAGTAATTGACAGGCATTCAATGTGTTATCTTTATTTACGTGGATGCCAGAAATAGGACTGAGGAGAATGACTGCTAATTGTTTAAGGGTTTTGTTCTTTTTCTTTTTTTTGACACTGACAAACCTCTAACTGCCCTTTAAAAGGTATGTGGATACTATGTCAACTTTTAAAAAGTGGATGTGAGCCTTGCTTGGCAAATACAATAAAGTAGTATATTAAACATAATACATCTTAATGATGAGAACATAAAAACATGGAAATCAACTATGAAGACAGAAAAAGAACTTTTAAAAATAATTTTTTCTATACTCCCATATCATAATCCCTTGTCAAGGACAGTTTTTAATCACTTTTAACAGCACATGCCACTTGAGAATACAGTTATTCCTTGGTATATGTAGGCTACTGGTTCCTGATACCAAAATCTAGAGGTCAAGCCAGGACTGGTGGCTCCTGCCTGTAGTCCTAACTACTCAGAAGAATCTGAGGATCACCATTTAAAGCCAGCCTGAGCAGAAAAGTCTGTGAGACGCTTATCTACAATTAACCACCAGAAAACCGGAAGTGCCATTGTGGCTCAAAGGGACAGAGTGCTAGCCTTGAGCAAAAGAGTTCAGGGACAGCACCCAGACTAAAGACAGACAAAGAAAGGAAAAAAAAAATCTACAGATTCCTTAAGTTCCTTTGTAACTATCTCATAATTGTGTATAGCCTTTTAAATAATGTCTAGAGTTTAGTATAATGTAAATGCTATGTAAAATGTTTTTATTCTGTAGTACTTAGAAAATAATGACAAAAGTCTGTACATGTTCAGTACAGATGATTTTTTCCCTCAAACATTTTCTGAAATGAATCTATACATGGGAAATCTATAGATAGAGAGGGCTAACTACATTTGTAAGTTATTAATAAGAAAAGTACTAAGCTGTTATTTATTGATTATTCACACTGCCTTAACTGCTTTCTCCTAGAAAAGGCTTATAGTTTTATACAGAATACTTCTTTGACCTAAACTTACTTACAGTAATATACAATAACAAGAATAGCCAATTCCAATAAATAGCTAAATAAGAAAGAAAGTGTGTTTATTATTGTTAATTCTCGTCTGGAAGCAGTTGTCTAACTGCTTTAAGGAGTTTTGGTTTTTTTTTTGCAAGATTTTGAATGGAAAAGGAGTTAAAAACCTATTCCAAAATACTCGTATTTCGCTTTGTGTAGGTATTTTATCTTTATTGACTTGTTAAACATCTATTCAACTTAGGGGTTTTTTCACATTGCTTTGAAATTGACAGTCTATTACTTGCTTCATATAGTTGATCCATTTAATTTGTTATGCTTAGAGTTTATCAGCAATGTGTCCAAAAATCAGTATTCCATGCATAATTTTCCTTCTGTACACTGGCAATGGGTTTTAGATTTACTGTTCTTGAAGACACTATGTTATGGCACTTAATTTGTACTATAGAGTAGGCATGTCTAAGAGCTCAGGTTTTGGATCCAGATGGACCTCGTTTCTAATTATAACTTAATTTACGAATTTAATGTCTACCAATATACCCTATATAAATTTAATAATCCTGTGTCCATTTTCTTATTTTTAAAATGAGGGTAATGCCTTCTTATGGTTTTTAATAAAAAAATGTAAAATACTTAGTAGATAGTAAAAAATAAATTATAACCTTATATTTTTGTCCCTTATTACAGTTTTTAAAACCAAACTTATTGAAATCTTTTAGTTGTCAGCATCATACATTTTATTATATATTTTACTGACTCCTACCTTTCAAAAAGTAACAGAATAATAAGTAACATTCTATTTTACTTTCAGTCAAAGAAAAATAAGAAGAAAACAAAATCAGATGCTAAAGCAGTACAAAACAGTTCACGCCATGATGGAAAGGAAGTTGATGAAGGTATTTGAGCAAGGGAAAGAACTGTAGAAAAACTGTATATCTTTTTTTAAAACCAAGTTGTGTTATGTTGAAGCTGCATTTGTTTCACTTAATCTTATTTCTAGCTCTTCTTTTTAATGACCATAGATTCTCAAATGTGACATTTTGAAAAAAAATACTTTTATTATTTAAATTACTTAACAATCCGCAGTGCTTTTCCTGATGAGATTTAGGTTGACCTCAAAATTTTGAGCATTTGAAAAGCTAATCATTTTATCTTAACAAAGAAAAGAAGCCTGGTTTGAACTTTTCCCCATTGCTTAATTTATTTATTTACTTATTTTTTTTTTTTTGGTCCGGTTGTGGGGCCTGTACTCTGGGCCTGAGCACTGTCCCTCAGCTCTTCAGCTCAAGGCTAGTGCCCTACCACTTGAGCCACAGCGCCACTTCCGGCTTTTTTCTTTTTGCTTATGTGGTGCTGAGGAATCAAACCCAGGGCCTCAGGCATACAAGGCAAGCGCTCTACCACTGAGCCAACTTTCCAGCCCCCTAATTTATATTTATATATATATATATATATATATATATATATATCTCCCCTGAAAGGCTGTGTGCAAAAATTTCTTGTTGTTGTTGTGGGGTTTGAATTCCAGGTACTGTCCCTGAGCTCTTTTTACTCATACTTTGAGTCACAACTCCACTTCCAACTTTCTGGTGGTTAATTAGAAATAATGGACTTTCTTGCCTGGGCTAGCTTCAAACCATGTTCCTCAGATCTCCTTAGTGGCTAGGATTAGAGGTATGAGCCACCAGCACCCAGCTTTGCAAAATTCATGAATAAGCCACTTATTACCCATTACCTAATAAATGGTTATTGGTAATAATCTATAACAGTCTTCCTGTCACTTATACCTAACAAAATAAAAAGATGACTTCTTTCACTTTTTCTAAACAAATTGGAATTTTAACATTATTAGACTAAACAATAGCAGTTTGTTGCAAAAAAATGAGATTAGAATACAGTCTTAGGCTAGTTTAATGTAATTAACAGTCTTGGGGTTGTTTTTGTTGTTGTTGTTGTTTGACGGTTTTTTTGCTTAGTATCTAAATCTAGTATACCTTGTGTGTACCACCTCATTTTTTTCCCTCAAAATGATAGCTTTTTTTGTTTACCCCTTACTGAATAATTTTTTTTCTTCTCGGGCTGTATCAGGAGCCTGGGAAACTAAAATTAGTCACAGAGAGAAACGACAACAGCGTAAACGTGATAAGGTGCTGACTGATTCTGGTTCATTGGATTCAACTATCCCTGGGATAGAAAATACCATCACAGTTACCACCGAGCAACTTACAACTGCATCATTTCCTGTTGGTTCCAAGAAGAATAAAGGTATATTAGTGGAACATAAAAATGGTACATCAAATAAAATTTCTTTAAATCAGATGTACAAAATACCATTATGTCCAGATCTATTTCAAACTGCTAAAATCATTGTGCTGATATACCCTTCTTTGTGAGAGTATTGTGAACCATAGTGGTTTACCTAATAACCAACAATGTTGTTACATTCTTCTGAATGAATGGCTTTTTAAATTAAAATTTACCTTTCTACCTTGAGTCACATGAGAAAATGATGTTGCTTCTTTTCCTCATGTGCATTGCTTTGCCCCTACTCTCTTGCATTTCCATTTCTTACAGTGGATAGGACATTTATTTAGTGGAATTATTTATCACCGTTCTGCATGTTGAGTGCTTTCATTCCAATATTAAAACAAGCATGTCTGGTTAGTGCAGGTTCTAACTGGATTTCCTATCACCTCAGCTGTAGGTATTTGAAAAAGCTAGACCAGAATTTGCAAGGTGATTAAGCTAAATTCTTTCAAGAATTTAGATACCTAGGCTGTCCAGTATTGGTTGCTTCCTGGTAGCATTATGTCACCATCATTTTACCCTGAAGACACCAGCCTGCAAAGTAAAACCGTTCGACCCGCTTCAGATGATTGGCTTTATTTATATTTCTTTGTCTTTTTGTTTATGATGTCGTCTTTTATTTTTAGATAACTTTCTTAGCTTTTTTACATTTTTGCTTGATAACTTATTGGAATGTATTGCCATGGTACAGCAATGAGTTCTACTTACCCATTTTCTTTACCACGTACTAGATATGCTTTAGCTTTGTTAGTGATCCTTTGTTCATGTGCATGCCTTCCTTGCTTACACAATCCTGTTTGATGCTAGGTTTGTTGGTGGTTTGTTTTTTTTTTTGTTTTAACTACATTGTGATCATTCTAGTTTTAGAAATGTACTATTTTTGTGCTAAAACATGTATTCTCACCTCTTGCCATATTTCCTAAGTTGTGGTGCCAAATACTGGCAAAAGTTCTTGAGTTGCTATGTTTGCTTCCAGGATTGCTGAAAAAAAACTGGTATTGAGAAGTGGCAAAGTTGAATCCAATTTCAGAGCCCAGTTAGTTTTCCTGCTCCTACCTTAAAGAATCTTAATAACCATTGCAGATTTAGCTAAGTGTTATTGCTACTTGGGCAATTTTCCAGGTCCTTTATTGGCCTTTTAGTATGGTAACTAGAGAACTCAGTTCCCTGTTAGACATGTGAACTGTGTTATAAAATTAACTTTTTTTCAGGGTCATAATTTGACACTTGAAGGATCAGTTTTTTTATAAGTAATAAGCAAATAGCAATTTGTATGTTACTCCTAGTTTTATGTGTATCATAGCCTGTTTGATATTAAGTAAATTTTATTTCTGTTTCAACCAGGTGATTCTCATCTAAATGTTCAAGTTAGCAACTTTAAGTCTGGAAAAGGAGATTCTACAATTCAGGGTGAGAGAAATTCTGTGTAACTAAATTGGAGACCTATCAATAAAAACTTACATACATGGATAATGTGAAAGGAAAGAAAAAGGCAAAAATTATTTTGATTGCTGCCAAGTGTGGGTGGCTCATGACTGTAATCCTAGTTACTCAGGAAGCTGAGATCTGAGGGTCACAATTCAAAAGCCAGCCCAGGCAGGAACATCTGTGAGACTCTTATCTCCAATTAACCACCAGAAAACCAGAAGTGGTGCTGTAGCTCAAGTGGTAGAGCACTCACCTTGAGTTGAAGAGCTGAGGGACAGCGCCCAGGGCCAGAGTTTAAGCCCCACAATCAACAACAACAACAAAAAAAAGTAATTACTAAAGTAATTAAAAGTAATTACTAAAATAATATAATTACCCCGGGTGCTGGTGGCTCACGCCTGTATTCCTAGCTACTCAGGAGGCTGAGATCTGAGGACCAAGGTTCAAAGCCAGCCTGGGTAGGAAAGACTGTGAGACTCCTATCGCCAATAAACCACCAGGAAACCAGAAGTGGCGCTGTAGCTCAAGTGGTAGAGCACTCGCCTTGAGCTGAAGAGCTGAGGGACACAGCGCTCAGGCCCAGAGTTCAAGCCCCATGACTGACAAAAAACAAAAAACAAAAATAATACGATTACATACTCTATGGAAAATAAAGAAAAAAAATCAATCCCACTTCTAATAGTTTTTGGTATGTGTAATACACGCACACACATAAATATACATATACGTTTAGTAATTTATATCCAATTTTTATTCTTGACTTGAACCACTTAAGCCAATAGAGAGGGGTCTTTATTGGACATGAATGTAATATGAACATATAAAAGACCTAACCATCATATACAAGAAAAAGCATTAGTTCTTGTAGTTTGTTTTGTTTTGTTTTGTTTTGTTTTTTGGATCCGGTTGTGGGGCCTGAACTCTGGGCCTGGGCGCTGTCTCTCAGCTCTTGTGCTCAAGGCTAGCGTACTACCACTTGAGCCACAGTGCCACTTCCAGCTTTTTCCTTTTTGCTTATGTGGTGCTGAGGAATCAAACCCCAGGGCCTCAGGCATGCAAGGCAAGCGCTCTACCACTGAGCCACCTTCCCAGCCCAGTTCTTTCAGTTTTTTAATACTATTTCCTTGACAGTGTTAAATATTTAACAATAAACGGGGGCTGGGATGTAGCTCAGTGGCAGAGCGCTTGCCTAAACGTCCTGGGTTCGATCCCCAGTACCAAGAAAGAAAAGACAAAAAAATACAGTTAAAAAAAACCCAAACAACAAAAAAAAACAACCCTCGCCGGGCGCTGGTGGCTCACGCCTGTAATCCTAGCTACTCAGGAGGCTGAGATCTGAGGATCGAGGTTCAAAGCCAGCGCGGGCAGGAGAGACCATGAGACTCCTATCTCCAATAAACCACCAGAAAACCGGAAGTGGCGCTGTAGCTCAAGTGGTAGAGCACTCGCCTTGAGCTGAAGAGCTGAGGGACAACGCCCAGGCCCAGAGTTCAAGCCCCACGACCGACAAAAAAAAAAAAACGGACTATAAGGTTTTCAGGTACTTCACAAAAATATATTTTGTTTCCTCATTTATGATAATAGCTTAAGTAGAGTTGTATACCTGACCTATAAACACAAGTGTTGTAGCAAAACATAAATTTAGAAATGAAAAAAAAGCACCTTATTTTAGGCTCCTCTTTATCACTGTCAGCTTCCTCTATAACCCTGGTCGTAATCCTTATTACTTATCACAGTTATCTAGGAAGCTTACACTCCTACACAGAGGCAAACAAAACACAACAGACAAACATGTACTTATTTACAATCACTTGTGTGTAATTTGTATAGGAGTATATATACAGACATATGTTATGAGGCCTGAGGCCCCATCTCAGATTTTAAATTGGTCTTGGTTAAGGCTGTCTAGTGTATTTTTAAGGAATTTCTTAATGAGCAACCAGGTTTTAGAATCACTGCTTTATATATAATATACACAAATGTTTAAGGAAAAACATATAACTAAGTATAAGTCTTTATATTCTTCATGGGTGAGTGTTCTGAGTATCCTAGAATGTGGGCCATTTTCCTGTTTACTTTTTCTTTTTTTTTTTTTTTGTCGGTCATAGGGCTTGAACTCTGGGCCTGGGCACTGTCCCTCAGCTCTTCAGCTCAAGGCGAGCACTCTACCACTTGAGCTACAGCGCCACTTCCGGTTTTCTAGTGGTTTATTGGAGATAGGAGTCTCACGGTCTTTTCTGCCCGGGCTGGCTTTGAACCGCGATTCTCAGATCTCAGCCTCCTGAGTAGCTAGGATTACAGGCGTGAGCCACTGGCTCCCGGCTCCTGTTTACTTTTTCATAATTCCTGTGAGGCAGTCATTCTGCTATTGAGAACATCTCTACTATATATAATTACATTCAGACCTCCTGTTAATTTTTAAGTTAATAGAGACCTTGTGGTAACCATACTGTTAAGTTCATTTTTTTAATGCTCAAACTATTTAAAAGAGAGTAAGGGAATGAAAATGATAAATATAAGCCAAGGCATTGCAGAGATTTAAAAATAACCCATTTTTGTTCCTGTGGATGTTTTGTGTGGTATCTTGGCATTTGTGTTGCTAGTTAAAAATTTACTTCCAAATAAAAATCCCATGATGCTATAAAAAAAAAACAAAACAAAACATTTTTAACAAGAAGTCATCTTTCTTGGTTTTGGTTGGTTGGTTGGTTGGTTGGTTTTTTTATTGGTCATGGAGCCTGAACTCTGGGCCTGGGCACCAGCCCTCAGCTCTTCAGCTCAAGACTAGCTTTCTACTGCTTGAACCATAGAGCCACTTCCGGCTTTTTCTGCTTATGAGGTGCTGAGGAATCGAACCCAAGGCCTCCTGTATGCAAGGCAAGCACTCTACCATCGAGCCACCTTCCCAGCCCCATCTTTCTTGTTTTTAATCTTCATTTTCTTTTCTTTAAGTTTCTTCAGGATTGAATGAAAACCTTACTGTCGATGGAGGAAGTTGGAATGAAAAGCCTGTAAAACTCTCCTCACACATCAGTGCAGGTGAGGAGAAGTGGAATTCTGTTCCACCAGCTTCTGTAGGCAAGAGAAAAACGGAGCCACCTGCTTGGACTCAAGATACTGGTGATACTAATGCAAATGGAAAAGACTGGGGAAGGAATTGGAGTGACCGTTCAATATTTTCTGGCATTGGTAAGGACTGTTAGAACATATTTTATAAGTTCACATATTTTATAAGTTCATTTTAAAGTGCTAATATGGTATATGTTGGATTTTTCAGGAATGAAAAGTAGTCATCAATAGAAAATTTGGTCCTTCTATACAGAAATATTAGTACTATCTCAGTTCCTTTGGATGAAGCAAAGTAGGAACTAAAATAATAAAGTTGATCACTTTTCTATGTTGGATGGATTTTTTATTACCAATTTTTACATGAGAAGGGTGATCACTTTGAGAGAATCTTCACATATCACATTTATCAGTTAACTATATTTGTGTGTTCTTAGTGATATGAATGGTGTGTTGAGAAGACTTGATTGATATCTGTAGTTTTGTGGAGTCTAAATGAAAATATTAAATGAAAGTACAATTTAAAGTATCTGTTTATAGAGAGTTTTAGAACCCGCAAATGCTTTTTTGTAATTAAATTTTTCCCTGGATTTTAATTATAAGTACCATTAGTTGAGAAGCTTATTTCTCTTGAGGACCATTAGGTTAAAAACTAAATTTTTGGAGACAGATATAATTGAGTGAGTGTATGTATGTATTGTGTGTTATAGTATAGAGAAGAAATCATGTTATATATAGGAAACTGCAAAAAAAGGAAAAACGCACTATTACCATACATTCTAGTGACAGTTTTTTGTTTTTGTTTTTGTTTTTGTTTTTTTGCTTAGTCTTTTTTTTCCTCCCTGTACATGGTTTTTGTTTTTGATGTAATTTGAATTTTATGTGTATTTGTGTGGTCCTTTTGCACACCTACTTGCAAAATTGTAAGAAACATTTTCTTTACTCTTTGTAAATATTTTTACTGAGTGGCTCTATGATTATATCGTGTTAGTAACAGCATGTTACATTGAATACATTAGTTTAGGACTTCTTTGTTTAGGATGAATTCCTGAGAATAATTTTGGATTAAAGGGCATATGAATGTTTATAGTGCTTCATTCCATATTGTTGAAAGTATTTTTTAAGACAGTTATTCCCAATATACTCTTAACATCAGTATAAATGCTTATTCATCATTTACTTAAAAGGTGGTGTATACCTTTTTTTCTAATTTGATTAGCAAAAATAGATTATTTTGGGGCTGGGAAGGTGGCTCAGTGGTAGAGCGCTTGCCTTGCATGCATGAGGCCCTGGGTTCGATTCCTCAGCACCACATAAGCAAAAAGAAAAAAAGCCGGAAGTGGCGCTGTGGCTCAAGTGGTAGAGCGCTAGCCTTGAGCTGAAGAGCTGAGGGACAGTGCCTAGGCGCAGAGTTCAGGCCCCACGACCGGACCCAAAAAAAAAAAAAGATTATTTTGGTTAACTTTCTTGAATCATTAATGAGGTTGGAGGTTTTTCTACAACTGTCTTATTTCTATTTCTTTTATGAATTCCCTGTTCATGTTCTTTGCCATTTCTCCTATGGTTTTTATTTTTAAAATCAAACTACAATTTCTTACCCATTAAACATACAATTTTTTTCTATCGTGGTAAAGCAAATATTTTTGATAGCTTTTTTCTTTTAATTTGGGGAGTAATGCACACTAGAAGTTTATAGTTTGTAAATAGAAAATAATTCTCTTTGTTGTTCATACCCCATTACCTTTGTTTTGATGCCAGTCCTGGGGTTTGAACTCAAGGCGTGGGCACTAAAACTGAGCTTTTTAGCTCAAGACTAGTAGTGCTCTAGCACTTGAGCCACATTGCTCTACCTCTGGCTTTTTGGTGATTAACTGGAGATAAAAGTTTCACAGACTTTTCTGCCCAGGCTGGCTTCAAACTATGATCCTCAGATCTCAGCCTCCTACATAGATAGGATTACAGGTGTAGCCACCGGTAGCATTCCCCCATCCCCCTTTTTGTCAATTCCCTCTCTCCCACTTCCTCACCCTTAGTTTTTGTGTGTGTGTTTGTTTTGGGATTTTTTTTGTTTGTTTTTGGGGATTTTTTGGCTTTCGGGCAGCTGGTTTGTTTTGGATGGTTTTTTGCCTGTCCTAGGGCTTGAACTCAAGGCCTAGGTGCTGTCCCTGAGCTTCTTTGTGTTCAAGGCTAGCGCTCTACCACTTCAGCCACAGCACCACTTCCAGCCTTTTTGAGTAGTTTCATTGGAGATAAGAGTCTTACAGGGATTTTTCTACCCAGGCTGGCTTTAAACTGTGCTCATCAGATCTCAGCCTCTAAGTAGCTTGGATTATAGGCATGAGCCACCAGCACCTAGGCTGCCCTTTTCTTGTTAAAAAGTTAACACTCTTAAGAACAAACTTCTGGCATTTACTAATAAGTTCTTAAGCTTGCTCTCTGTTCTCTCCTTCCAGTAAGATGTATATAAAGAATTGTGTGGAAATAGCAGAATTTGTTTGAAAGAGACGTTCTCTTTAATTTCCTATTCTCACTTTGAGTAGAGAAGAAAGCATAAGATTTCTGTGCTAAAACTTTCTTTTATAACAAATGAAATTGTTAGGTTTTTATGGAGTACTGTTTTAAGCTATAACATTTTGAAATATTTTCAGTTCACCTATAAGAGCCATGTACAGTTTCATAATTAAGACATAGATTAAGTGGTACTTGCTTAGTGTTACTATAGAAAAAATTAAACAGTAGATTAAGGTTCTTCCCTAGCTGAATTAGTCCTGAAATAGAACTGTATTAAGTTAGGCTTGCTGGAGGAGGGTGGTTGCCGCTGAGAGGAGACAGGTGTTAATAATTACACAGAGGTATGTGCTTCTTAAAATACATCACATGTAGCATAATGATGGGGAATTGTTCTTTGAAAAAACAGTTGCCAGATGATTTTGTCATTTTGTGACAGTATAGTGTATACTTATAAACTCTATAGGACCACGTATATATCTGATCTGTTGATCACAGTATAATTTTGTGGTATATGAGTATACTCAAATAACTGTCTTAATATTTTAGTATGGTATATACTAAATAGAATGAGCATGTAATAGTTCAGAGAGACTTAATAAATATGAACATCTGTTGGACATTAAGTTATTTAACCTGTATGAAGCTGATATTTTAAGTGACTGTCAGAAAACAAACTAGGCTCAGTGCCTGGCCCAACGCAATTGCTTAATTGGGATAGATGATAAGGTAGTTTGGTAGTTGGAAAGAGCATGGGCTTTGGAAATTGACTTAATTTCCAGTCATGAGCTCCCTTGTTTTCTAGGTATCAGCAAATCACTTAATTGCTCTGAAACTGCCTAGTAGGGTTACCATAAAGATCACAAGTGTTTGGGTATAAAGGGCCAACAATATAATAGAAATTGATTAGTTATTGCTGTATTATTGGTTCTCATTCTTTAAATATTGTTATCATAGTTTTAAATCTGTACATATCTTTCAGATTTTATTGCAAATTAAAGGTTCCAAGTGACGTTCTTTATTTTAACAGCTGCTTGGTCTAGTGTGGATAGGGGGATGAATACCTCTGAACAGAATTCTGCTTCTTTTGCATCTCTCACACTTAACTCTGCTGTTTCTGGTATGTGAAAAAACAGTCTTTCATTGAGTTAACAAAAAAAATTTGTGTAAATTAATTTTAGCACTTTTATTTGAAAAAAATCATCATCATCAAGTACTGCTATTAAAATAAATAGTAGGTAAAGTAGCAGAGTCCTAAAAAGAGTGGGGATGAAGAAAACCTAACTCTTCATGTGCAGGTGGCTTAATTCTTTTCTACAGAAGAGTAAGGAAGATTCTGTCATCTGACATCACTTACAGTTTATTAGCACATAAACAAATACCCTGAAAGTCCTTCTTTTAGGTAAGGCACATAGTCTTACCATAGTTGTTGTGATTTGGCATTTTATTCCTATTCATTATGAGTTTCTAGTAGGAATTTTAGGCGGTGCATCAGCGGCTCATGCCTGTAATCCTAGCTACTCAGGAAGCTGAATCTGAGGATTACTGTTCAGAGCCACCTTGGGCAGGAAAATCTCTGAGTCTCTTATCTCCAATTAACCCCCAGAAAACTGGAAGTAGAACTGTGGCTCAAAGTGGTAGAGCACTAGCCTTGAGTGAAAAAGCGAGGGACAGCACCCAAGCCCTGAGTTCAAGCCCCACAACCAACCAAAAGAAAAAAAAGTGCCACATTATCTAGAACACTAAGGTAGAACAGCTCAGCAAATCTTCTCTGGAAAAGAAACATTGTAGGCTTTGTGGGCCATATGGTCTCTGTTGTAGTTCCTCAGTTTTGCCATGATAATAGGCAAGTTACCAGAGGAAATAGCAACAAGTAATTGTGACTGGTAATAGAATACTATTTTTCAGCCATCTAAAAACTATTCTTGGCTTTTGAGCATACAAAAATAGAGTGATTAGTTTGGCCCACCAGTTGCAGTTACTAAAACCTGGTCTTAAAGAGCACCTTTGAATTCCATGTTAATTGCATGTTAATTGCTTCTCTTATTTGGTGATTTTTTATTACACAAATGTGTAATACTTTACCCTTCATATCTTCAAAGAAAACAGCATAAGTTACTGAAGTAATAATTGAAGGGTTATAGTTACGCTTTTAAACAGTATGCTATATATATATATATATATATATATATATATATATATATATATATATATATATATATACACACACACACACACACACACACATCCCTATAAAAGTAGTATGTATATATACTATATACTAATACTAGTATATATGTATGTGTGTGTGTGTATATATATGTATATATAATACTAGTAGTACTAGTATATACATATGCACACACATATATAGTTTATATTATATATGGTAATATATGTGTATATATACATACTAGTAATATATACTACTTTTATAGGGTTATTTTTATTTTAAATCCATATCAGGCAGTTACATTAGTGGAATTCTAGTAAAATCATCTACATCCAAGTGAAAATGAGAGATAGAAATGATTGTATGTTGACCTTTTATGCTAACTAGGTCTCTTTCCTTCTTAACTATTTCTTTATATCAAAATCCAAAGTGAATATTAAAGTCAAAGATGAGCCAGACACTGTTGGCTCATACCTGTAATCCTAGTTACTCAAGAGGCTGAGATCTGAAAATTGCATTTGGAATCCAGTCTGGACAGAAGAGTCTCAGATTTCTTTCTCCAATTAATGAGCAAAAAAAACTGGAAGTAAAGGAGTGACTCCAGTGGCAGAGTACCAGCCTTGAGCAGAAAAGCCAAGCAAGAACAAGAGTTTAAGCCCCAGTATTGGTACAAAACATTAAAAGTCAAGTATGGACTCGCATGCAAGAGGAAATTCTGATTCAGAAAGCATTTTATGCATATATTCATGCTTGTCTGGTAGAGACCACAGTCATTTACATTCTAAAATGAATGGCCATAGAGCAGAGATTTCAATCTGGTATCTGTGAACTTACATGCCCTCCCAAAAAAATCTTTTTTTTTTTTGGTCGGTTGTGGGGCCTGAACTCTGGGCCTAGGTGCTGTCCTTCAGCTCTTCAGCTCAAGGCTAGTGCTCTACCACTTGAGCCACAGCACCACTTCCGGCTTTTTCTGTTTATGTGGTGCTGAGGAATTGAACCCAGGGCCTCTCATGCATGCAAGGCAAGCACTCTACCACTGAGCCACCTTCCCAGCCCTCCCCCAAAAATCTTTTAAAGTTTAGTTGGGTTACCACAGCTTTCATAGGTTCTTAAAGGACCTTGTAGCTTTTCTACTTCATCCCCTCTCCTTGTCCCCCCCCCCAAAAAAAAAAAACAAAGCTTAGAAAATATTCTGTTCTCTTAAGCCTAATTCTCTAAAGCTCTAACAACCTTCTTGTCTCTTTGGCTCTTTCTTGCTGTAATTATTCCTTTTACATTCCTTGCTCAGAAAGTTCAGGCTTATTTGAACAGACATTTTCTAGTTCTCTCTCATAGGCATACCCTCAAATATCCAGAACTAAAATAAACAAGATTTGTGTTGTATTACTTTTTATTTAGAAGAAAAAGCTAACTGGGTATTGGTGCTGGTGGCTCATGTCTACTGTAATACTAGCTACTTAGAAGGGTGAGATCTGAGGATCGCAGTTCAAAGCCAGCCAGGACAGGAAAGTCCATGAGACTTTTTTTTTTCCTGTTAGTCATGGAGCTTGAACTCGGCACCTGTGTGCTGTCCCTGATCTGTTTTGCTCAAGGGTAGCACTTTACCACTTTGAGCCACTACTGTGCTTCTGGTTTTCTGGTAGTTAATTGGAGTAAGAATCTCACAGACTGTTTCTCCAGCTGGCTTTGAACCATGATCCTCAGATCTCAGCTTCCTGAGTAGCTAGGATTACAGGCATGAGCCACTGGCACCTAGCTCTGTGAGACTTATATCCAGTTAATCACCAAAAAACTGGAAGTGGGAGCTGTGGCTCAAAGAGCACTAACCTTAATGGTGGGGAAGAAAACCTCAGGGACAGCACCCAGGCACTAAGCTCAAACCCCAAGACTGAGCAAAAAAAGAACAAAATCATTTTCTTATTTAAAAAATGTTTAGACAACTAGATTGAAGTATATTACAAAAAATAAAATCTAATTGGTACTAAGGGAAAATGTTTTTAATCATATATCAGTTAATTTTAAAATTTTGCTTTTCCTTTTAACTCTTTCTAATGTCTGAACTTTTTCTTTTAGGAGAAATAAAAAATAAAATAAAACCTCCGTGTGCAAAGTATAGAACTATTGTAATGAAACATCATTAGGAAATTCCATTTTTAATTTTTTTGCATTCGTTTTTATTTAAGGGTCTACTGCTGAGCCAGTTTCTCAGTCTTCCACTTCTGATTATCAGTGGGATGTTAACCGTAATCAACCCTATATCGATGATGAATGGTCTGGGTTAAGTATGTCCTTTTAAAAATTATCAGTTATTTTCAGAATTTTCTTTTTAGCACCCTGAATTCATGCTTTATGTTTTACTTTTAATTCTGACTTACTACTTTTAGAGGTCATAGTAATATAATTTAATATCAAATGTACTACTTGAAATCTGATTAACTTAGAGAATTAAAATATTTCATAATGATTGAGGCAATATTTAAACATGAAATTTTCTTATTGCTAATCTATAGTCTTTTTAGATTTTTTGGTCTTTAGAATGTTGTGTCCCTTTAGTTGTGGTTTAAAAGAGGCAATAGTTATCCCGGAATGGCTTTGGATTTGTGAAGTGTTTATGTCTTGTGTTAGTATACAACCAACTTTGTTAGTCTTTGTTTCCAGTACAAGCATAAGGAAGGCTAAAGGCAAGAGTTATTTTTTAAAAAATAATAGGAAAGGAAAAAGAATATGGTTTTTATCTTCAGAGAATTCACAACATTTTCATTTAAAAGTATGATTTTTTTTAACCCTTATAACCTCAAATTTCAGCATTTGTTCTTTTTACTATGTTCTTCTTTCTTCCCCTTCTTTCCTAATCATCAGGGCTTGAACTCAGGACCCTTGTACTTGCTAGATACTCTACTTACTGCTGAGCCATAGTTCCAGACCTTTTTGTGCTGATTATTTTGAAGAAAGAGTCTTGCTTCCTCCTCCACTACTCTGATCTGCCTGTTTGTAGAATTCTCATCAGAATTTGCAGACAGACATACCACTGTACCCAACTCTCCATTGAGAAGGTGTCTCATGAGCTTTTCTGTCTAGGCTGGCCGTGAACTACAGACCTTCCAGTCTCCGTGTCCCGAGTATTTTAGGATTATAAGTGTGAGCTACTTGCAGCCCACCCTATTTTCTCCTCCTATATTTTAGTATTTACATTACTACCTATGAGATTTCACAGCATTTTTATTTTTTGGTGTATCAGTTAAAAAATAAAGAAAAGGAAAAGTTCTCTTTTGAGTAGCATAAGTAAAACATATTTTCTGACATGATAAAAAAAGTTTTTATTTGTCCAAGTAGATATTACTCACACAAACACACTTTCCAGATGAAGAAACTGAGACAAAGAATAACTTAATTTTCACTGGGTCATACAGCTAGTTAAATGGGAAGATATATTTAAACTTTGCTAGTTTGGCTCTAGAGTTCTCATACTCTAACTTCCATACAGTGTTGGTGATGATAGCATTCATGAAGGCAAATTTGCAAATTAGTGGTTGAAGCACAGTTTTTAGAGGCTAAGGAAGACAACGTTGGAATGGTAGATTATAGGCAAGGCTGTATTGTAAAATGCTTTTTTTTTTTTTTTTGATTGGGTCATGGGGCTTGAACTCTGGGCCTGGGGGCTGTCCCTCTTCAGCTCAAGGCTAGTACTCTACCACTTGAACCACAGTGCCACTTCCTGTTTTCTGGTAGTTTATTGGAGATAAGAATCTCACAGACTTTCCTGCCTGGGTTGGCTTTGAACTGTGATCCTCAGTTCTCAGCCTCTTAAGTAGCTAGGATTATAGTCATGAGCCACTGGTACCTGGCTTGTGAAATACTTTGAAGATTAATGATAGGTACTAGAGTACTTGTTTAGAAAGATCTGAGTTTTACACTGTCATATGACTTGAACTCTTGTCACTAATAAGGAATCTAGATTAATCAAGCTGCAAAATGCAACAAGTAGCATGTCTATTTCTGTAAGTTAGCTTTATGCTTATCCAATAACTTAATAAAACCTATATTGGCTGTCTTTAAAGTCTAAACTTTCTCTTTAACTTCCCTTCCTCTATAAATTTTATGTTTTGTGTTACTGTTTTTAGTGGAGCTATTTTTTAGTGCCCAGTAATTATTCTATATTGATAGAGAACATAACTTAATATTTAGTCCAAATATCATTTTACATTTATCATATCATATGATTAACATGTTGTCTCTTAGGTTTAAGGTATAGATGTCTTTATGTGCCAGAAAGACTCTTGAGTTTACCCAAATTAACCACCAAAAAGCTGGAGCAGTAGCCTTGAGCAAAAAAAGCTAAGCCCTGAGTTCAACAAAAGCTAGGCCCTAAGTTCAAGCCTGAGAACCACGTAGAAGATATTTATAAGAGCTGGCACTGGTGGCTCACAACTGTAATCCTAGCTACTCAGGAGGCTGAAATCTGAAAGATCACAGTTCAAAGCCAGCCCGGGCAGGAAAGTCCATAAGATTCTTAGTTCCAGTTAAGCACCAGAAAGCCAGAAGTGGCACTGTGGCTCAAGTGGTAGAGTGCTAGCCTTGAGCTGAAGAGCTTGAGGGACAGCACCCAGGCCCAGCGTTCAAGCCCCAGTGACCGACCAAAAGAAAAGTTATTTATAAAAATCTGTCTTCTATTAATATTCTTAAGGAATTAAACTATTGGTGACAGTTATTCATCAAAGTTTAGGGCCATTCTAAGCCTTTTAAATAATCCTTTTACTAAATCACTAGATTTTTATCCCTGACACCCACCTCCATCATTAAGAAAATGGGCGTATGTGAATTATTTTGCCTGTTTGCCTACTTTTTTTCCTACTTGATAGTTTCTTTCTTGGCAAACAGTCTTAGAGACATGGCTAATGAAAAGCAATTTTTCAAGTCTGAGTGTTATCTGTAAGCTTTAAACCTTACAATGACATCTCTGGCATTTGAATATCCTAACAGTTCTGTTAATGAATGCTTGATATATTTGCTCCAAGCATCTACTTGATAACTTTGTACTTACAAAAATGATTTTGCTATTCATCAAATGTATCTTATTGATGCACATAAATGGTTTTAAAATACACTTCATGAGCTGAGCACTGGTGGCTTATGCCTATAATCCCAGCTACTCAGGAGGCTAAGATCTGAGGATCACGGTTCAAAGCTAGGCTGGGCAGGAAAGTCTGTGAGACTTATATATATATATATATATATATATATATATATATATATATATATATATATATATTGTGTGTGTGTGTGTGAAAATACTGTACAGAGGGGTTACAATTATATGGGAAAGATAATGAGTACATTTCTTACCAAGCATTGTAGCCTCTTCCTTTGTTTCCCCTTCCCATCCCTTCCCATCCTCCCCCCACCCACCCCGCACCCAATCCTGTCCGTGAGACTCTTTATCTCCTGTAAACCACCAGAAAACCGGAAGTGGTGCTGTGGCTCAAGTGGTAGAAGCTCTAGCCTTGAGCTGAAGAGCTGAGGGACAGTGCCCAGGCCCAGAGTTCAAGTCCCACAACTGACCAAAATAATAATAATAATAATAAAGCTAGGCTGGGCAGGAAAGTCCGTGAAATTCTTATTTCTAATAAACCACCAAAAAAACTGGAAGTGGTACTGTGGCGCAAGTGGTAGAGTGCTAACCTTGAGCTGAAGACTGAGGGAGAGCACCTAGGCCAGAGTTCAAGCCCCACAACCAGCAACAATCAAAAAAGAAATATATATATACGTATATATATACACGCATATATATATATATATATATATATATATCCTTCATGATGATAAAAACAACATTATTGAGCATTTATTGCATTGCTTTGAACTGTTTACATATATTTTATATTATCCTCTCAGCATTCCATGAAGTTGGTATGTAGCCAATTAAGATTAAGAAACATAAGCAAATCACAATGTCAGTAAGTTGTAGAGAACTGTGCATATGTTCATTTGTTGACTGTAACACCTATGCTTTGAACTTTTGTGTTAATACTGTTAAAACTGTTTTTGAATGCCTGTCATGGTACTGAATTCATAAATATATGGACTTTTTTGGGACACTTCTCACAGTCACTTTTTCCCTCACGGAACTGTAAACTTTATTTTGTTTTCTTTTGTTTTTGTTGGTAGTGGTGTTTGAAATCAGGGGCTGGACATTGTTCCTGAGCTTTATTTTTCAAGGTTAGCACTCTACAACTTTGAGCTACAGCTCCAGTTCCAGTTTTCTAGGGGTTAATTGGAGAGAAGAGTCTTACGGACTTTCCTGCCCAGACTGGCTTTGAACCATGATTCTCAGATCTCAGCCTCCTGAGTAACTAGGATTACAGGCATGAGCCACCAGCACCTAATGGCTCTCCATGTCCTATGCTGGTTTAGCTCCTCCTCTCTTATTTCTCAATCCCTGTGATGGAATCTATCACTCTTTTCTTGTTTGTTATGCTTACATCTACATCCTTCCATCCCTGAATAGACAGAGTGTGAGCCAGCTGTCTCTGGGGATGGATTCTATTTCACTTGGTTTTAGAAGTTACTTAGTTCCAGTTCTACTGTATAGTAAATTATTAACTAAAATACTTAATTAGTGAGTAAATAAAATTCCTGTAATCCACAAAGATATACTTATTTTTAATGTATCTGTTTCTTTCTCACACAAACTTGGGGTCTCATTCTGTGTGATTTGGGTTTTTGGTTTTTGGTGGAGTTTTTTTGGTAGGAGGAGAATTTTGTAAGTATATATTAAAGAATTTTGTATTTGGAGCTAGTAGGAAATGTTTTTATTTTATTTTTCCATTGAGCAATGTTAGGAGAGGGTGTCAGTGAAATTACAGAAGTATATTCTATGTACACAGGAAAAGAATATAATGAAACTTACTGGGGCTGGGAAGGTGACTCAGTGGTAGAGCGCTTGCCTTGCATGCATGAGGCCCTGGGTTGGATTCCTCAGCACCACATAAGCAAAAAAGAACAAAGCCGGAAGTGGCGCTGTGGCTCAAGTGGTAGAGCGCTAGCCTTGAGCTGAAGAGCTGAGGGACAGCGCCCAGGCCCAGAGTTCAGGCCCCATGACCGGAAAAAAAAGAAAAACCTACTAAAAGCTTTTAAAAAATAGTCATACAAGCCAGACATTGGTGGCTTGTGCCTGAGAGGCTGAGATCTGAAAATTGCAACTGAAAAACAGCCCAGGCAGGAAAGTTGGTGAGACTCAACAACTAGAAAACCGGAAGTGGCACTGTGCCTCAAAGTGACTAAGAGCACTAACATAGAACAAAAGAGCTGAGACAGCCCCCAGTCCCTGAGTTCAAACCTCACAACCAACCAAAAAAAAAAAAAAAAAGTGCCTTCTATAGTGAAGGAAATGGATTTGGAAATCTAGAATAAAACTAATTTTGTGTCTGTGATAATTGAAGCCCTCAAAGCAACTCAGATACTTTTGGAGATAATCAGATAAAAGGGGTATGAAGTAATCTGAGGAAAAGAAGTTGCATATTCTATCATGAGTTGGTAAATTTGAAGAACACTTTAGGATGGGAAGATGTGTATATAAATGATAGTAGGTAGAGAGTGTAATTTTAGCTACTGAAAATTCTGTCCTAGAAACAATTACATTATGTGATGGTCAGGCCACATTAAAGATAGATATGAGTAAGGGTGAAGATTCAGGAGACCAGTAGAGAAATAAAGAGAATAAAATTAAATGGCTAATTAGTATGTTCACTGGACTATCTAGAAAGTGTATTTAATATGTACCTAGAAAAGTTTTGGTAAAGATGGTACCGTCATTTACTGGCTTATTGTTATGTTGTTTTGTTTTTCTAGCTCTTAAAATATTCTTGGAAAAAGAACAATTGTTTTAAAATTACAGTTTAGCAATTGTTTTAAAATTACTATTTAGCAATTGGTGTGGTGGCCAAGCGCCAGTAGTTCATGCCTGTAATCCTAGCTACTCAGGAAGCTGAGGTCTGAGGATCACAGTTCAAAGCCAGCCTGAGCAGGAAAGTCTGTGAGACTCTTATCTCCAATTAACCACCAGAAAACCAGAAGTGATGCTGTGGCTCAAAATGGTAGAGTGCTAGCCTTGAGCAAAAGAGCTCAGGGATTGCACCCAGACACTTGAGTTCAAGCCCCATGACCGACCCCCCAAAAAAATTAGTGTGATGAAGCTACCTGTAATTCCAACACTTGGGAGGCTGGGGCAAGAAAATCTTGAGTTCGAAGCCAAACTGGATTAACATAGTGAGACTGTGTCTCAAATGTATATAGCTTAGTTCAACATGAAGAATTTTTAGTTTTTGTATTTATTTGTGGAAGAAATGATAAGTAACTGATACTGTTAAATTTTAGATGGTCTATCTTCAGCTGACCCCAGCTCTGATTGGAATGCACCAGCAGAAGAGTGGGGAAATTGGGTTGATGAAGAAAGAGCTTCACTTCTAAAGTCCCAAGAACCCATTGCTAATGATAAAAAGGTGAGTCCAAGGGATTAGAGTGGATATTTACTTACTAATGAAACAGCATCAGAAACAACAGAATGGCTAGGACTAAAAAATGTTGCTGGTAGCCAGGCACTGGTGCTCACGCCTGTAATCCTAGCTGCTCAGGATGCTGAAATCTAAGGATTGCAGTTCAAAGCCAGCTTGAGCAGGAAAGCCCATGAGACTCTTATCTCCATTTAACCACCAGAAAACCAGAAGTGGTGATGCGCCTCAAGTGGTAGAGTGCTAGCCTTGAAGAGCTAAGGGACAGCACCCAAGACCAGAGTTCAAGCCCCACAACTGACAAAAAATAAAAAATGTTGCTGGATTTGCTTCCTAATAATTTGGAGAATTTTCATTAAAAATCTTGGATTGGAGGGTGTGGATGTAACTCGTGCCCAGTAACATGCATGAGAACCTGGGTTTGGAAAAAAAACAGGAAAAGGCAACATAATTCTTTTTTCTTTTAATTGTCCCTTAATTTTTTTTGCTCAAGGCCAGTGCTCTACCACTTGAGCCACAGTTCTACTTCCAACTTTTTTGGTAGGTAGTTGAAGATAGAGTCTTGCAGACTTTTTGCCCCACTGGCTTCAAACCATGATCCTTAGATCTCAGCCTCCTGAGTAGCTAGGATTATAGTCATGAGCACCCAGCTCCAGTATAACTTTAAAAAAAAAAAAAAATTGGGGTAGAAATGGAAGGACTTTGTAGGGGGGACTTGGTTGAAGTAGCAAGTTTAGTAAACTAGTTAGGAAAGAATCATTTAGTATGATATAGCACTCGTGTATTCTTGCAAGCAGCCATAATTGATGTGGAAATTGAACTTTTAAAAATCTGGTAGTTTAAAAAAAATAAAAAAAAAACAAAACCTGGTAGTTTGTCAAATCTTGCTTTAACACATCTCTTAGGCAAAAAGGGTAAATATTTGGGGTGAAGTAAAAGAATAATATGGCTGCCTTATAGGATTGTATGCACATGTATGCTGATAGTGGAGATTGAACTCAGAAACTAAATTGTCCCTTAGCTTTTGTGCTCAGGAACAGAGCTCTACCACTTGATCCACAGCTCCGCTGTAACTGCCTCCTGGAACAGGTAGAAGAGGGTAAAGGAATCACATAGACATAAGTGAAGGAACTGTTCCGGTGTACTTCTCAGCTTTGGAGACCCAAGAAAGGAAGAGGTACTAACAGGATGAGAAAAAAGGGTCATATGAGTATAAAGGAATAGAGTGAGCAGGCAATTGAAAGTTTAGTTCAGGGACACATGTATTATATTTGTACAGTGACATATTAGGAGTTAAAAATGAATGAATTATATTATGGATAGAGCTCTGTAGTGGAACATTTATTAAACATTTGAAAAGAACCTGAATTTGATATTTTATTCCCCAAGAGAAGGTGGAAAGATCCTTATCTCAGAAGTGGCACAGTAGCTCAAAGTGTAAAGTGCTCCAGTACTCCCAGAAAAGAAACCTTCTATAGAGGTTTCTCTGCAACTGGCAGCTTGGACTGAAAATTGCCTAGTCAGGCTCATGCCAGATTTTGTTTTATTTTTCTATTTGTTAGTAATTTCTATAAGCTGTTTGATAGTCTAGAAATCTAGGTTGTCATTTGAGTATAAGCAGGAAGCATTTTTTTTTCTCCTCGTTAGCACCCGGCAGATAGGAAGTGAATACTCAGTCTGTCTCGCAATGGAGCTAATCAGTCATGCACTGAAACCTACACCAAAATAAACCCTTACTCTTTTTTATTTTACTTTATTGTTTCAGAGGTGATGTATAGAGGGGCTATACTTACATAAGTCAGGGAATGAGTACATTTCCTTTCATACAGTGTCACCTGTTGCCTCATTCTCTCCCAGTCCCTCCATCCTGTCTCCACCCACAAGTTGTATAGTTCACTTTCATCCGTGTCGAGTGAGCTCCCCTGCTTCCACTTTTTCACCCTTTTCCCCTCAAGTTCTGTGCTCTTCCCCTACCTCCCAAGATGTACTGTACACGTGAACACCCCGTATATAAGGCAAAGACTGAATCTTAAAAAAACTACAATTCTAGTTTGATAATATTTGGCATGCAGTTTGTTTTATTTTGTCATAGGGCTTGAACTCTAGGCCTAGGCGCTGTCCATCAGCTCTTCAGCTTAAGGCTATCTAGCACTCTACACTTGAGCCACAGCGCCACTTCCAGATTTTTCTGTTTATGTGGTGCTGAGGAATCAAACCTAGGGCCTCATGCATGTGAGGCAAGCACTCTACCACTGAGCCATCTTCCTAGCCCTTGCAGAAATTTTTAAGTGATAACTTCTCCAATTTAATTTTTTATTAACACACATTAGCTATATTCATAGAGGGATTTCATTGTGATACATGTGTGCAGCATATTTCAACAATCTCTAATCCCTCTATCATTCCATCACCATCCCCCTCCCTTCTACTACAGTTTCACCAGATTTCATTGTTCTCTTTTAACTTCAATTTAAAAAAAAAAAATACTAAAAAGGAAGTAATAAGAGTAATCTCCTATACTCTTCGCTGAATTTTTCCCCATTCATAGCCTTTTGAAAAGCAACAGTACAATATCACAACCAGGACACTGACATTGATACAATCAATCCATGCAACATTTAACCACCAAGAAGTTCCTTCATGTTGTTCTTTTATAGCCTTCCTTTCTTTAATTTCATCCTGTCCCCCTCTGTATCCCTTCTCCACAATTATCTTATTTCAATAGACTTTTTTTGGAGGAGGGGGTCAGTTTGTTGAGCATATCACTAATTTTTTTTAAACTATTCTGTAGACAGACTCTACCTAGGTTTGCTTAATTTTTGAAAAAAACTTTTATTGAAAAACAGGAGTTGCCTTTCAAGTTATTATGAAAGCTACTTAAGTAATACATTGTTCCTTAGCGGGTTTTGTGTGAATGTAAGGTTTCATTTCTCTGGTTTCATTCCTAAGTATATGATCATAGAGTGGTAGAGTGGTATGATATTTGATATTTAATGTTTTTTGTTGGGTTTATTTTTGCCAGTCCTGGCACTTAAACTCAAGGCCTGGACACTGTCCCTGAGCTTCTTTTGCTCAAGGCTGGCATTCTACCACTTGAACACAGCACCACTTCTGGCTTTTTCTGTTTTATGTGGTACTGAGGAATTCATGCGTGCTAGGCAAGAACTCTTATCACTAAAGCCACATTCTTGGGCCTATTTAATGATTTTAACATTTTTAATTTTAGAAACTTTTCTAAAATAGCTATATTTATTTTTACTTCCCATACTTAAATTTAGTTTTTTCCATATATTTACATTTATCATGGTAATACTTATTCCCATGGGCTGTATATATGAATTTTTTCTGCATCCTCACTAGCATTTGCAGATGTCACTATTTCTTATTTTAGCCATTCTAAAAAATGATGAATCATAGTATTTTTAATTTGCACCTCTCCAGTTGCTAATGGTGTTGAATTTTTTTTCCATTTTTTGCTTTTTGCCATGTTTAGCTTCTTTAAAATGTATGTGCATGTCTTGAGTGTTGTTTTTTTTTTTTTTGTCGGTTGTGGGGCTTGAACTCTGGGCCTGGGCACTGTCCCTCAGCTCTTCAGCTCAAGGCGAGCGCTCTACCACTTGAGCTACAGCGCCACTTCCGGTTTTCTGGTGGTTTATTGGAGATAGGAGTCTCACGGTCTCTCCTGCCCGGGCTGGCTTTGAACCGCGATCCTCAGATCTCAGCCTCCTGAATAGCTAGGATTACAGGCATGAGCCACCGACACCTGCCTATAACTTGGCATTTTTATCTCCACAGTAAAATCCAGAACTACCTATTGAATGGGGAAAAGATGTATTGTTATTGTAAAGGTGATGTACAGAGGGGTTACAGTTACATGTTAGGTAATGAGTACATATCTCTTTGAAGAGTGTTACCACTTTCCTCTGAAACTTTGTTTTCTTCTAAGTTTGTGTTTCATTTTGGCTTGGGTTGATTTTGTTTATTTTAATGATAATTCCAGGGATTAAACTTAGGTCTTCAGGGCTTGGTAGACAAGTACTATACCCACATGGAGCCTGCCTCCAGTGCTCATTTTGATTTATGAGGCAGGATCTCTGTATAGTTCGGGCTGGCCTACAATGGGAAATCCTCCACCCTCTAACACCCAAGTGCTAAGATTATATATGAGTACCAACATGCCCAGCCCTCCAGAAAAATTTTAAAACATTTAAGATTTACACAGAAATCATTGTAAAAAGGACTATCCTAGATCTGGTGAATTGTTGCATATCTGTAATCCCAGCTACTGGGGAAGTAGAAATGAGAGGATCAATTTTTTGTATTTGTTTTTGTCAGTCCTGGGGCTTGAACTCTGGTGCTGGGCACTGTCCCTCAGCTCTTCAGCTCAAGGCAAGCATTCTACCACTTGAGCCACAACACCACTTCCGGCTTTTTCTGTTTATGTGACGCTGAGGAATTGAACCCAGGGCCTCATGCATTTGAGGCAAACCCTCTACCACTGAGCCACCTTCCCAGCCAGATGATCAAATTTTGAGTCCTCCTTTGGTGTGGGGATTCCCTGAAAAAGCTGGGTTTGGTGGTACGTTGTAAACCCAGCTACTTGGGGGGGGGGGTGGGGGGGGGCAGAGACAGAAGGATCTCAGCCAAGACCAAAAAGCAAAAGATGCTAGCTGAAAAGTAAATTAAAAGCAAAAAGGACTAGGTGTATAAGTCAAGTGTGCAGCACTAGACTAGCAAGCTCAAAGACTAAACCTTAATGAATAAAATTTGATAGTAATTTTCTGAGTAATAGAAATTTAACAAATCATACCAGGTGTCAGTGGCTCACACTTACAATCCTAGCTATACTCAGGAGGCTGAGATCAGAAGATTGTGCTTCAAAGCCAACCCAGGCAGGAAAGACCTGCCTCCAGTAAAACTACTCAGAGAAAGCTAAAAGTGGCACTGTGGCTCAAATGGTAGAAAGCCTTGAACACAAAGATGCTCAGGAACAGTGCCTAGGTCTTGAGTTCAAGCCCCAGGACAGGCAAAAAAAATTAATACATTGATTCACCTCATTTTTTTGTTTTTATCATTAGGTTTCAGATGATGATAAAGAAAAGGGAGAGGGAGCTCTTCCAACTGGAAAATCTAAAAAGAAAAAAAAGAAAAAGAAGAAGCAAGGTGAAGATAACTCTGTTGCACAGGTAAACAATTAGTATTCATTATGCATGTACTGCTATAAATACAAAAAGATGGTGTGTATGATGCTAATGACACTGTACAACATCAAGTTTACTGAAAAGCATTTTTAAATCAGTCATTTTAAGGAGTTAATAATCATAAAATAAAATTTGTATCATTTTAAAATTCCAAATTACTCAAATACATTTTTTTATTGTAAAATGGTGAAATAGAAAAAGAGGTTCAGTATTTTACACATCATTTAAAGTCCCGTTGGGCGCTGGTGGCTCACGCTTTAGCTACTCAGGAGGCTGAGATCTGAGAATAAGTCCCTGAAGCTGAGAATGTGGATTAGTGGTAGAGTACTTGCCTAGCATGCATGAAGCCCTGGATTCAATTCCTCAGTACCACATAAACAGAAAAGGCCAGAAGTGACACTGTGGCTCAAGTAGTAAAGTATAGAGTGCTAGCCTTGAGCAGAAGAAGCTTAGAGACAGTGTCCAATCCCTGAGTTCAAGCCCCAGGACTGGTGGGTTTAAAAAAAAAAACTCAGCATCATAGGTAGCTAGAATTACAGGCATGAGCCACCCATACCTGGCTTGAAATGGCAATTTTAAAGTCTTATTTCAAGCATCTGTTTCACTACATACTTTTTTTCCAGTTCTTGGTTGTTGTTTTTTAATTTCTTTGTTGAGATTAAGTGGTTACATAAACTTCACAATATTGTAGGATAGTGATACTTAGCTAAATAAAGTTGCAGACACATTTTAACCTTCAAGGTGAATTTCATTATCACATTACATCATTTTTTTTTTTTAACATCTTTCTTTTTAATAGAAAAAACATTAGTTTATTCTTTCTGAGTTAGTCAAAATGATTCCCATTTTGCAAAATGTAGGTGTATTATTTTATTTTATTTATTTTATTCACAATTGATCGCAACTCCATGGAGAAACAGAAGTGATGAACATATGTTCCAAAGGTGAATTGATAATTTCTGAAATGAAGTTATTTTCTGACATATCTTCAGAACAACAAGAAAGTAATTTGATGAATAGGTTTAATTATCTAATAGAGTGCTTTCCTCTGTAGGACACAGAAGAAATAGAAAAAGAGATTAGAGAAGAGCTTCCAGTGAATACCTCTAAAGCCCGTCCAAAACAGGAAAAAGCATTTCCCTCGAAGACCATAAGCACTAGTGATCCAGCTGAAGTACTTGTCAAAAATAGCCAGGTAATTTTTAAGCAATAATAATGTTTTGTTGGCTTAATAATTGTGTCATAATTACTATTGCTAGACTAATCATTTCAAGTATACTAATCATAAAACCCTAAACAAATGGTAGGTAGAGCCGGGCGCTGCTGGCTCACACCTGTAATCCTAGCTACTGAGGAGGCTGAGATCTGAGGAACAAGGTTCAAAGCCAGCCTGGGCAGGAAAGTCCCGTGAGACTCTTATCTCCAATAAACCACTTGAAAACTGGAAATGTCACTGTGGCTTAAGCGGTAGAGCACTCGAACAGCGCAGGGACAGCGCTCAAGCCCAGAGTTCAAGCCCCACAACCGACCAAAAAAAAAAAATAGAATGGTAGGTAGGACCCAGTATGTAAATGAAGCCAAGGCCTTGTGTAAAATGGCACCCCCTCTGATACATTAGTATTTTCCATAGAGGGTATATCATTTGAAATCTCATTAAAGTTACATTTAGAGATTGAACTGGTTAAATTATGAGCATTCTTTGAGGAAAATAGAACTGGTCATATTTTCCCTAAGCCATCTATCTATCTCTTCTTATTTAGTAAGGAAAAGAATCTCAATAAGTAAATAGGTTTCGTAATTAGTGACATGTTGGTTTTGTATTTAAAATTGTCTTTAGAAGTCATCTTGTACAAAAAAAATTTTCTTGAACTATTCTGTGATTAATGAGTGAGAAAATAGAGGGGAGAAAATTTAAAATACGTCATCTTTTGGATGTAAAATAAATGCAAGAAGCCGGGCGCCAGTGGCCCATGCCTGTAATTCTAGTTACTCAGGAGGCTGAGATCTGAGGCTCATGGTTCAAAGCCAGTCCAGGCAGGAAAGTCTACTCTTATCTTCAATAAACCAGTCAGAAAACTAGAAGTGGGCCAGGCGCTGGCGGCTCACGCCTGTAATCCTAGCTACTCAGGAGGCTGAGATCTGAGGATCGAGGTTAAAAGCCAGCCCGGGCAGGAGAGACCGTGAGACTCCTTTCTCCAATAAACCACCAGAAAACCGGAAGTGGCACTGTAGCTCAAGTGGTAGAGCGCTTGCCTTGAGCTGAAGAGCTGAGGGACAGTGCCCAGGCCCAGAGTTCAAGCCCCACGACCGACAAAAAAAAAAAAAAGAAAAGAAAACTAGAAGTGGCATTGTGGCACAAGTGGTAGAGCACTAGCCTTGAGCTGAAGAACTGAGGGACAGCGCCCAGGCCCAGAGTTCAAGCCCCACCCCCAACCAAAAAGAAAAAATCTAGACCATGGGGCACCAGTGGCTCAGGCCTGTAATCCTAGCAACTTAGAAGGCTCAGATCTGAGGATCACAGTTGAAAGCCAGTCCAGGCAGGAAAGTCCATGCCTGTAATCCTAGCAACTAGAAGGCTCAGATCTGAGGATCACAGTTCAAAGCCAGTCCAGGCAGGAAAGTCCATGAGACTCATCTCCAATTAACTACCAGAAAACTGGGAGCAGTGCTGTGGCTCAAGTGGTAGAGTGTTTGCCTTGAGCTGAAGAACTGAGGAACAGCGCCCAGGCCCAGAGTTCAAGCCCCATGAGCATCCTAATTTCATTGCCATATTAGATAAGTTAAAACATTCAGATCTGAGTGTCATTTGTTGCTGGAATGCCAGAATAGAAAGCCAAAACTATTACTATTGCTATTCTACACATCCCTCCCTAATGGGAAGGAAATAATGAAGTATCAGAGGCTAGTAGTGAAGTTTACTATTTTCTTTTCTTCCTTTCATGAGAAGTTTCAGTGCATTCAAAATTAGTAACCTGTGTTGCTTAAGGAAAAAGGAAAAGGTAAAAAGAACATTATAAATTGGACATCAATGGCTCACACCTATAATCCTAGCTACTCAGGAGGCTGAGATCTGAGGATCATGGTTCAAAGCCAACCCGGGCAGGAAAGTCGGGCAGGAAAGTCCGTGAGACTCTTATCTCCAATAAACCACCAGAAAACCAGAAGTGGCTCTTTGGCTCAAGTGGTAGAGCACTAGCCTTGAGCTGAAGAGCTGAGGGACAACGCCCAAGCCCCATGACCGACCAAAAAGAAAAAAATTAGCGGGGCGCTGGTGGCTCACGCCTGTAATTCTAGCTACTCAGGAGGCTGAGATCTGAGGGTCACGGTTCAAAGCCAGCCTGGGCAGAAAAGTCCGTGAGACTCTTATCTCCAATAAACCACTAGAAAACCTGAAGTGGCACTGTGGCTCAAACGGCAGAGCACTTACTTGCCTTGAGCTGAAGAACGCAGGGACAGTGCCCAAGCCCAGAGTTCAAGCCCCATGACCAACCAAAAAAAAAAGAATGCTACATATAATGAAATAGGAAAATATGATAGTCAATTAAAATGGAATCTGTTAGTATTTATAGTTTTTACACCTTTATATCCATATTCATAGGTATTCCAGGCAGTGGTTATAGCACTAGAGGGCAGAGGTGAGTTGTAGTTTTTCTGCTGATACATTAGTTAGAAAACAATTTACTTGCTGTTAAATAGCCTCTTAGCCGGGCACTGGCAACTCACACCTATAATCCTAGCTACTCAGGGCTGAGATCCAAGGATCACAGTTCAAAGCCAGCCCAGGCAGGAAAGTCTGTGAGACTTATCTCCAGTTAACCACCAGAAAACCACAAGTGGAGCTTTGTCTGAGAGTGGTAGAACACTAGCCTTGAGCAAAAGAAGCTGAGTTCAAGCCCACAACCAACAACAACAAAAAAGCAATAACAGTAGCCTTTTAATGTTTTGATGCTTAATTTATGTGAAATTTTGTTTTAATCTGAGGTAATTTGATTCTAAAATAGCCTATCAAGACTCTTCCACCTGCTGTTTCTACCGAGCCATCTGTTAGCTTATCAAAAAATGATTCTGACAAGAGTTCTTCCCAAGTGCCACCGATGCTACCAGAGACAGATAAATCAAAGTCAAATACCAAGCAAAATAGTGTGCCTCCTTCACAGAGTAAGTAATCATCTTTTATTTTGGCAAGGTGAGGGGGGTAAAATGGGGTCCCTTCTATGCTGATCACATTCTTGATATGTAAGGATGAAGATTAGAAATCTAATGCATTCATAGAGCAGCCATTTCTTTTTCTGCAAATGCTAGATTCCTTGAAATCCAATAGACGTCAGTTGCTAAAGTTACAGAAAGAACGAATGGCCAAAAGTGGGCGCCGGTGGCTCACGCCTGTAATCCTAGCTACTCAGGAGGCTGAGATCTGAGGATCGTGGTTCAAAGCCAGCCCGGGCAGGAAAGTCCGTGAGACTCCAGTAAACCACTAGAAAACCGGAAGTGGCGCTGTGGCTCAAGCGGTAGAGTGCTTACCTTGAGCTGAAGTGCTCAGGTACAGAGTTCAAGCCCCACAACTGACCAAAAAAAAAAAATGAATGAATGGCCAAGAAAGGCAAACTTGATCTGCTTGTCTTGTCTATCTATCTGCCAGTCCCTTTATACATCTCTTTAAGTCAAAACAGGTTACATGACTTGAAAATATGTAACTAGAAATTAACTTTAAAACTTAAAATTTGAGGATTTTAAAGTATTTTTTTCATAATTACTGCTTTTGTGTTACTAAAATTTTACAGTACTTACTATATTCCTGCCTTTTTTTGTCTCCTTATCTATTTCTCTTTTAGCCAAGTCTGAAACTAACTGGGAATCTCCTAAACAAATAAAAAAGAAGAAAAAAGCCAGACGGGAAACGTGAATATTTTTATTTCCTGAATTGGACACGTGTTTGCAAACACTGTCTTGAAGATTATGCTGTTTATGCAATAATTTGTGAACATGTACAGAGTTTTATATAAATTTAAACCAATTTTTAAAACAAAACTGTGAACACAAACACCATAAAAATGGAATCAAAGGAAAGTTAATTTGTGAAATTAAGAGGTCAGCAGAACATACTACAGTGCTGGAAGACACTTGGGAAAGTCTTTTCAATTGGATGAGAGTGATCTTAATTTAAGAATATTATCCTGGTTTTACAACAGTGCCCTGTTTACAACAGATTGTGCCCTATCTCATCTGCAGCTGAAGAATAATGGATTCTGATTAGAGAGGGCTGCCTATAAATTTGTGGGCAGCTCCTTGGATCTTATGCACGAACTTGTACCATTTGAATCTGTTTTATGCTTAAATCAAAGTGCTTTGATCAAATGCTTAATCTGCCATATCTTTGCATATTTGTTGGTAGCAATTTGTATCAAGGAATCACAAGTGCAAATAAAAAGTCACTTATCATTTAACTAAACTGTCATGGTTTAGTTTACAATTTTTAAAAAGTTCTTAATTAAAACATTGAAAATGCAATTGACACTTGTATGGCTTATGAAGTTATTTTTGATAGTCTTACATTACTTGAATTGTTCAAAATACGGTATATTTTAAATTAAGAAAGGTAAACTATATGTATTTGTTTTATACATTTAAAGCTCAGACTAACAAATAATGTTCTTGTTTATGATTTGAAATTCTTCAGACAAAATCCAACTTGGTGTTTTTCCTTTCCCTAGCAATTACTTTTTTCCAATAACAACCCTTATTAGTTGCTGATTTTTTTTTTTTACTTAAAATTGTTCACAAACTTGAGTATATGATGGAGAATGAAAACCTAGAGTCAGACAGCTTTAATTGACATTGTCAAGACCTCCAGTTATCAGGAATACATTTTTTTACTGCCTTAACCTGTAGTATGTAGAATATGCATCAATTTCTTGAAGAAGATTCATGTTTTTATAAGAATTTTCATGTAATTACTGCAATTGTGGTCAAATAAGGAACATTTTCTGCTTGAAAGTGTATTGATTTAAATAATGTGTGAGATGTTTCACCATTTTCAGGCACTGTGTAATTCTATTGTAATAAACTGGCAGGTATCTTTGTAATTATAAATAGTGCATGCTTGGCCATGTACACTGTAAATAGCCTTTACCAAACGTGTTTGACAAGGACCATAATTAACATCACTTAGTGAATTGTGATAAAGAAAAAGCCATGATTTATTTGATGTGATTGGCTTAATTGTTTTTATGTGGCAACAAGAACAAAATTGTTTAACAGCTGTAACCAATGGTACTGATATATCCATCCAATGTCTTTATTATATATGGTTGTGGTTTAATAGTATTCCATTGTCAGACTAGGAAAGCGAAAGAAACAAAATGATTTTAGTTGTGCAGAAGACTGGCCTTTATTAATGGACAGCTTTCCTCATAAGCAATTATTAACTTTAAGGTGTTAACATCTGTTTCAGGAACATGGCAGTCTGTTTACATGTCATAAGTTTTGTTTAATTTTATGGTATTTCTAAATTGATTTGTTTAAATAAATTCAACAAATGGATAGCATTGTTTTTATTTGCTTCAGTATGGGGGTAAATAATAGCTAAAGTGCCAGGAATGGATTTCTTCAAATAACTTTATTCTGTTACTTTACATAGTGTTTGCTACATAGATCCTAAAGTTCCTAAGTTGTCAGCATTTTGTAAAAGTATCACAAAGAATTTGATACAAAGAGTCTGTAATTTTGGAGTGTGCCAAAAGGTATCTGTTGAAACGTTTAATTGAACTCTCTCAACTCTACCTCACCATTTCTATATCTTAGACTTTTGTTTGCTGTGTCAAACATGGGACCTTTATCCCTCCGGTTCAGTATCACCATGTTGGACCACTTATGCCAGGACACTTGGGCCAAGACATGATTTGTTGAGGTGAGATATATTGTACAGATGGAGAAGCACACTGATGGATTGGGTTGGGTCCAGTATGGAGATAATCTCCTTCCTCCTCTCCAGCACAGGAGCCAAGAACATGAGTTTTGTGTTTATAAGAGGTAGCAACTATGAGTGAAAATGAACCCCATTCTCTCTACCTGCATGAGGTAGAAACGTTTGCACAATATACTCATTACTCTCCCTGATCATAGGATCTTGATACAACATCACAGCAGTTTCTTGTACTTGAACTGGTTTCTATTGTTACCTCACACAAGGCATAGAAATCGAGTAGTTCAGAAAGGAGGGAAGAGGCTGGGCCTAGTCTTTGGTGTGGACTAGATGCTGCTAGATTGCTGCCTTCAGGCCTTGCCAGTCCTGTATTCCTTTAAGCAAACAAAAAGTCTTCCTGATCCTGGCCTCTGCTCCACATGCAAGTGAAAATCCTCCCGTTCTCAGGCAGAAATTTGTGGTTTCAGACCTCTGCAGACTGAAATCCTACTTATCTACCCTGAATTGAGTTAACAGTTGAGAGAGTCCAAAACAAAAGTATTGAAGTAAAATGTGATAAATGTAATTTACCATGTTTACTTTGTGCATGCATTTTACTGGGAAGGGTAAGTCAGAATAATTTATCCAAATCTAATGGTATTATTTCACAGGCTAATCCAGTTTGTATTTGGGTTAAGATACCAGAGGGAAATATTTAACTACAGAGTTTAGTTTTTCTTAATTAAAAAGTCTTCTATTAATGTAGTGTTACATATCTTTCAAATTTTAGGATTTAGGTTTAAGATGTCTAATAGATATCTCAAGATTTTCCTGTAAACTCATTGCACAAACTGGAATTACTTTCCAAAAGGCTTAGGAAATGAAAATGTAATTTGTAAGATTCATTGAGTATTGTAAATAAAACAAACCATTTTTGTTTTGTTTTAATTGCTCGTTCCAGTTCTCTTGGGGAAAGGGACTTTATCTTATATCCTAAGCTAGTCAACAGGCAGCTACTTTGCCCTATTCCCAGCTTCTTCCTCCTACTAATATGCAGACTTTGCCACTGAGGAGTCAAATATCTGAAGGTAAGCTACATAGTGTTCTTAACCAGAAACACATCTTTTAAGTCAGCAGCAGGTGTAACTGCTGCCAGGTACAATATATCACTTAGAGATTACTTTTAGGTGAAAAAATGAGACTAGGCTGGATGCAGATGGCTCCCACCTATAATCCTAGGTACTCAAGAGGCTAAGATCTAAAGATCACAGCTCAACACCAGCCTGGACAGAAAAGTCCCCATGAGACCCTTTTATTTTTTTTATGTTTTATTTATTTATTTATTTTTTGGTTGGTCCTGAGGCTTGAACTCTGGGCTTGGGCGCTGTCCCTCAGCTCTTCAGCTCAAGGCGAGCGCTCTACCACTTGAGCTACAGCGCCACTTCCCGTTTTCTGATGGCTCATTGGAGATAGGAGTCTCACGGTCTCTCCTGCCTGGGCTGGCTTTGAACCGAGATCCTCAGATCTCAGCCTCCTGAGTAGTTAGGATTATAGGCATGAGCCACCAGCGCCCAGCCCCATGAGACCTTTTTATCTCCAATTAGCCACTCAAAAACGAAGTGGAGCTGTGGCTCAAATTGGTGGAGCACTAGTCTTTAGCTAAAAAGCTCAGGGATGGCACACAGGCCTGGACCAAGCAAAAAGACTAAAACTTGACAAGAATTAGTTTGTACATAGTAAGTTGTATTCCCAAACAATTATTTGTGTAGCATAGAAGATTTACTCTTGCATGTATAAAATTCATTCAAGCATACTCAGGAGGTTGAGAGCTGAGGATCTCGGTTCAAAGCCAGCCCGGGCAGGAAAGGCCGTGAAACTCTTCATCTCCAATAAACCACTAGAAAACCAGAAGTGGCGCTGTGGCTCAAGTGGTAGACTGCTGGCTTTGAGCTGAAGAGCTGAGGGGCAGCACCCAAGCCCAGAGTTCAAGCTCCACGACTGACAAAAAATTCATTCAAACAAACAATCCAGGACTAATATAACACTTTGCCAGGGATAGATAGGGTCAGATCCCTCCATATGGCACCACATCTTTGTCAGCATGATTGTGGTGGAGGATAACTGCTACCTCTAGAAACATTTTACCAGCCTAAGTCCAATAGGAAAAGCAGCCCTCTTTTCTAGACACGAAAGAACTATACATTAGAGACTGAACCATTGATGCAAGAAATGACAAGAGGGGGCTGGGAAGGTGGCTCAGTGGTAGAGCGCTTGCCTTGCATGCATGAGGCCCTGGGTTCGATTCCTCAGCACCACATAAGAAAAAAGAAGGGGGCTGGGAAGGTGGCTCAGTGGTAGAGCACTTGCATGCTTGAGGCCCTGGGTTCGAGTCCTCAGCACCACATAAGCAAAAAGAAAAAAGCCAGAAGTGTGCTGTGGCTCAAGTGGTAGAGCGCTAGCCTTGAGCTGAAGAGCTGAGGGACAGCGCCCAGGCCCAGAGTTCAGGCCCCAGGACCGGACCAAAATAAAAAAAGAAATGACAAGAGGATGCAAATAAATAGAAACACCCTGTGTTCATGTTTTAAAAAAAAAAAAAAATGCTTCATGGGCTGGGAAGTGGCTCAGTGGTAGAGTGCTTGCTTCACATGCATGAGGCCCTGGGTTAGATTCCTCAGCACCACATAAGCAGAAAAAAGCCAGAAGTGGCATTGTGGCTCAAGTGGTAGGGTGCTAGCTTTGAGCTGAAGAGCTGAGGAACAGTGCCCAGGCCCAGAGTTCAGGCCCCATGACCAACAACAAAAATGCTTCATTAAGTCACTCACACTGGAGACTTAATGTACTTTTCTTGTCCCATTAGCTGTGAAGGACAAGGAGAAATAATAGTCCTGATTCTGGGTTTTCATGGGCCTGGTTAAGATTTCGAGATTCTATTACTGTCAAGCACCGGTGGCACACACCTATAATTCTAGCTACTTAGGAGGCTGAGATCTGAGGATCATGGTTCAAAGCCATCCCAGGCAAGAAAGTCTGAGATGCTTATCTCCAAGTAACCAGAAAACAGGAAGTGGTGCTGTGGCTCAAGTGGTAGAGTGCTCACCTTGAGCTGAAGATTCAGCTCAGGGACAGCACCAGGCCTAGAGGTCAAGCCCCATGGCCAAAACAAAAAAGATTCTATTACTGAGGGAAAAACAATCATACTGACACTGCTGGCAGTCTGTCACACTTCCACAGTCTTATCTGCTATACCCATGTATTTTTGAAGTCTAGCTAAGCAGAAATTGTGAAGGCTTTTGGATGCTATTCAGATAATCATATTCCTATATATGATGGATTCTGAGAGACTTTTCTGCTACTCATTAACTGCCCTAAATTCTAGACAGGCTGAGAGGAACAGTACCTTACTATCCTACACTGCAAGTGTAGCTTACAACAGGTTGTAATAGAGCCCTCGCCTTGAGCTGAAGAGCTCAGGGACAGTGCCCAAGCCCAGAGTTCAAGCCCCACAACAGACACACACACACACACCTAGCCCAGGCAGGAAATTCTGTGAAACTCAACTCCAGTTAACCACCAACTGACAAAAAACAAAGTGACATTACATTTTCACTCTTTTATTCCTAAATGATTTTTTTTTTTGCGGGGGAGGGGGTGGCCGGTTGTGGGTCTTGAACTCAGCTTGGATGCTGTCCCTGTGCTTTTCAGCTCAAGGCAAGCACTCTACCACTTGAGTCACAGCGCCACTTCCAGTTTTCTGTTGGTTAATTGGAGATAAAAGTCTCATGGACTTTCCTGCCAGGACTGGCTTTGAACCTCAATCCTCAGATCTCAGCTTCCTGAGTAGGTAGGATTACAGGCATGAGCCACAGGTGCCCAGCTCCTAAATGATTTTGACAGAGACCCTAAAATAGGCAGATCACATCCCAGGCCTATATCAGAACAGGAAGTAAGACCCTTTTCAACAAATACAGGAAATGGCTGGGATTGTGGCTTAAGTTTTGAAGTGCTTGCTTAGCAAGTGCAAGGCTCCAAGTTCAACCCAATATTGGAGGAGGAGGTTGGTTTGAAGGCTACTCTGGAATGCTTAACTTGACAAAGGTCTCTTAGGGTACTAAAAGTGACCAGGGAACATCTAGCCTGGTCTCAAGAGATTGTCACAGTAGCCTCATTACCAACCTTTCAAGACTTTCCACCGGTACAAGCTGGTTATAATAAATCTATTACAGGTTATAATAACTCAATATTAAGTACAATAGCAGAACATTAGCATATGAGCACATGGGCAGCCTTTCCATAAAGGAGAGTAGACAGCAAGGTTCTCCTTTAGTTAGATGCTGTTCCCAGGATCCAAAATAGTAGTAGCAAGTACCACAGAGTGAGGGTTCCTTTGAGGTAGGGAGCCTGGAGACATTCTGACAAATGCTAAAGGAAGTTTGTGTCCTAACAGGTCCTGTTTGAGACGTTACATCTTCACATAATGGCATTTGAAATAATTTCTTTCCCTTCTAAGCTGCCTTTACTAACTAAAAATATTAGATTACTGGAAAAGTTGCAGCTGCTCCCATGTCTAGTCAAAATTGAAATGGCCAACCCCTGTTTTCGCTGTATTTGAGGTTGGTATAATTTGGGGAGGGGAAGGGAA